TTACAGGTCTTCATCAATGCACATCTCGACGATTTACAGCCATTCAGTCTACCGAAACATCTCAGACCTCATCTACTATGGTGGACAAAGAAATCGAATGTCTGCGAAGGGATTTGTTTAGCAGAGCAGGAATTCAAAACCCATCTATATGTGGACGCGTCACTTCAAGGTTGGGGAGCTCATCTCGCCTACCAAACGACATCGGGAATATGGAATCAACAAGAAAGCAAACTCCACATAAACAACTTAGAGATGAAAGCTGTAATCAACGCCATTCTACATTGGAGCACATTTCTACAAAATGCGCACCTGATGATTCATACAGACAATTCTACAGTGGCGTTTCTATAAAAAACAAGCAAGGCTCAACGAGATCACTGAACCTTTTGAATCTAAGCTTTCAACTATTTGATCTAACCCACGATCTAAATCTACAGATCAGAGCAGTTCACATTCCCGGAGCCAAGAATGTACTAGCAGACGCGCTATCTCGGCCTCATCTACCATCACCGACAGAGTGGATGCTCAATATGGAAATATTTGCTCAGATAATCAAGCCGTTAGTAGCCGCTAATAGATCTATCGCCACAAGATTCAACAATCAGCTACCGACATTCGTGTCACCAATCCCAGATCCACAAGCTTGGGAAACGGACGCTCTAAGTATATCATGGGAAGGCCTCAACGCGTATGCGTTTCCGCCGCCAGCAATAATACCTCAAGTATTACAGAAAATCAAACAAACACAGAGTCTACAACTCACTTTGGTCGAGCCCTACTGGCCAGCCAGAGTATGGTTTCCCAGTCTAATTCAAGGAATCGGTCAACCAGTATTAGAGCTACCCAAGCGCTCAAACCTGTTAATACATCCACACACAAAACAAGTGCACGGAAACCCAGAAGTTTACCAACTTCACGTATGGACTGTATACAAATGTGTTTAAACAAGAGAGGATATTCTGCCAGGGCGGCAAAAGCGGTCACGCTTGCCTTATGACACTCAACTCGTAACTTGTACGACGACAAGTGGCACAGTTTCGAAAATTATGCAGCTAATAAAGGATTTACAGCGAGGGATGCTTCACATCCTCAAGTGGCAGACTATTTGTGTTAACTGCGCAAAACAAACATTTAAGAGGTTCGGACGATATCAACATATCTTGCCAGCTTAGCTCTGTGATTACTATGAGAACGGGTGTCAAGCTGACAAAATCTCCAGAGTTACTGGCCTTACTACGTGCTTTCGATTGGAGGACCAAAAGCGGAAGTTCCACGTCCCAGCTTGGGATCTGAATATAGTGTTACAACACCTCACAAGTGAGGCTTATGAACCCTTGGAATCGACAAACTTTGAATTTCTCTCACAGAAAACTCTATTTCTGCTATCTCTAGCCACGGCAGCAAGAATATCTGAAATTCACGCTCTGGATTACGAAAGGATACAGTTTGATGACAATCAAAACATAGAGCACCTCGGATTAAGATGGGATTTCATCGCTAAAAATCAACTACCAGGTCAACCAGACAGGTTATTCCATGTACCAGCGCTATCCTCCATTCTTGGATCACAAGATACACAAGACTTGTCACTGTGTCCAGTCAGAGCTCTCAAAGTTTACCTACGACGATCCAAAACAAGGTGAAGATTTCTCAAAAGATTATTCATCCCTTATCGCCAACGAATCAAACAGAAGTCCGGCGTACTACCATATCTATTTGGATAAGGACTGTCATACTTCTCGGCATACAAGGCAACAGGCTTGGACCCACCAACAGCATCAAATCCATGAGATTAGGGCACTGGCTTCCCCTCGCCCTGCACGGTAACTGTTCATTGAACACTATTATGGAAGGATGCTTTTGGAAATCGAACATGGTGTTTGCGAATCACTACTTGAGAGATATCACCACAGAAGATGTCTCTGGCATTCACCATTTTCGCCCTTTGGTCCTCAGCTCAACAGCTGACAGTCCCTCGTAGGCGTTAAAATATTACAATCACAAAGTTAATATGTATTATATACATAATTTAGTTAGCTTATAACTCTGAGGAGTTCTAGAGCTATGTATATATATTCAGCTTAGGTCTTTCACCCCTAAGTATATATGGACATTATATTTAGTTGTACAGCGACTCTATCAGAGTCTCTTATGTATATATAATTTATGTAATGGGGTTTTTCAATATATATCAATGTAATACACAATTATGGCATTATAAAACCTATGGTTATATACAGGAAATATCCTAAGTCTATGCCTTCATGAAGTTCCCATACCAGTTATTACAGTTATATTTATACAAAATCACTAATTATAAATCCAAAGTATTCTGTTACTCCCTCCTCCGTTCCGTAGGATTCTAGAAGCAAAAGAGCATGAGTCAGGATAAGGAAAAATATGTAATTTTTAGAATAAAATTGATATTTTATACTTATCCTGACTCATGAGGTCAGCCCTCCCATCCTCCCCACATAACACTTTGGATTTCCCTGTAAATTCAAGTGTTGGGCTCGCAAAATCAGGAGAGAGTGAAGCACGAGGTATGAGGTGGCGACACCTTTCCCATCAAAGGGGAGCAACTCGTGGTGAGTACTGATTAGTGATTTTACATTGAAGGGAGCTTCAATTAAGGAGATACAAGTGTTTCCACTATGTTCGCAAGAAGAAGAAGACAAGCAAAAGAGCATGAGTCAGGATAAGTATAAAATATCAATTTTATTCTAAAAATTACATATTGTTATAAAACACAGGTTCTGTAATGAAGTCTTCAAATGATTGTGTAGAAATTGTACAAGAGTATTCGTGAAGTGCTAACAGACATTTTTTCCAGAAGGTATTTGTGATTTTGTCACTACATGTTTTCGGAAAGACAGAACCGAAAGTAGAACTATTCATGCAGTCTGGAATAGAACTGAAAGCAAAGATTTCCATTTTGGAACAGTTTCAACATTAAATATACACCTGACCCATCTTAATTTGAGGGCTCCAATGAATTTGTGAATATCAACCTCAACTGGGCAGAGATATTCTTAAAACCAATAAAGACAACACCAGACAGAAAGCTTAGGTGGTTTCAGTTAAGAATACTGCATAGATTGCTGTCAACCAATTCCTATTTGGCCAAGATTAAGATGGCATCTAGTAACAAGTGCTCCTTTTGTGGGGATTGTGCTAAAACTCTTGTTCATTTATTTTGAGAATGCAGTTAAGTCCAAACTTTCTGGAAGTCACTCAGACTTGTTCCTTGAAAAAGGTTCTCATGTGAGTAACTTAAAGGTCACATGCAACGTAAAACACAACTTTGCAGATTCTGATACCTTTCGGTATGGACTTACTGAAACAAAGCGTCAAAAATGCAAATTCAAGTTATAAAGTTGAAAAATAACGTGATGAAAAAAAACGCGCGAAATCGGAGTTCAAACGTTTCACTAATTTTCCCCAGACTTTTCTGGGGAATACGGGTTTCAACTGCTGGGCTGCGCTCATAGCACGTGCGCAGTGAAATAGGTTCGCGCAACTTGGAAGCGGGCTGTCTGGTGAATACTCAGTGAAGGCTTTGGTGTGAGCTATTTTCATAATGTTTTGTTGATATCTCACAGGCCGAGCTTTTATATGTTATGACAGTAAATAAACTGTTTATATAATTTCATTTGTCTATTTCACCACACGTTCTTCTTACGAGTCCTTTCTCAGTTCGATACTTAAAAGCAATGTCATTATTTAAGCGTTGACACAATTTCTAACTGTGATATAGATATGTCGCTGTCACAGACAAAACTCAATGTCTTGTTTTATTGACACCTGTGTGTCTGCCTGCCTGTCTGCTAATGACAATATTCAATACACAACTGCGATCACTGACCACATGCAATTTGAACTTAACACCAATCAGGCTATACACCATAAACAAAGCGCATTGATTTATGGCCCGAGTTAGGTCTCTGTCACATTATGTAATTACACAGACAGGTAGGTGTGATACTTGAACACATGACATGTTATGATGTCTGTTGATTGCAAAATGTTATACACAAAAAATGAGCATGTATTTACAAAACCCAACATCTCTATATATACACACACAATGAGCCGTGAAGGCGGCATCTGCTAATGAACCAGCCGTTACACTTGAGTGCACACCCACCCGCTCTGACTGGGTTCGGTATCCCGGCTGCTTCGTTTCGAGGGAGGTAAACCCAAATACAAAATATTGCACTTTTGATTTGCGATTATACGCTTATAATTTTGTTTATTTGTTTTTTCATAATCAGCAATGCATATTATATGTCATGAAGAAGTGATAATTGTGTTTTAATTATGTTTGATTTTTTGGTTGCATGTGACCTTTAAGCTTTACTTCAGAGCTTGTTGTTTTTGGTTACAAAGATGACTTTGTCTCTGATGAGGTGTTCGACCTCATTTTATTACTAGCAAAGTTCCATGTTTATAAATGCAAACTTGTTTTAAGAGACTGTTGAGTGATAGATTTCATCCATCATGTGCTGGTCATTTTTCCTTATATACTATATACTTCATGTTATTTGCTACCTATTCTGTCAGTGTGAATGTGTGAGTGAATGCAATGTGCTTGTCTAATGTCTTAAAACCCAAAATAAAACCCAGAAGCCTGTTGCTTCAATGTCTTTTCACTTCAATGAGGTTTCTGCTTCCCTGTGCTGCAGCCCCAATTTGAAACAGGGGTTTCTGAAATAAAAATAAAAACAAAAAAAAACAACCCCAAAAAATATGATATTGCCCATTGTGTGATGGAATGAGTGAGTGAGTTTAGTTTTACGCTGCACTCAGCAATATTCCAGCAATATGGCGGCGGTCTGTAAATAATCAAGTCTGGACAAGACGATCCCATTAGTCGCCTCTTAAGACAAGCATGGGTTACTGAAGATCAAGTCTAACCTGGATCTTCACAGGTCTTTTGTGATGGAGGTGAAGTCTTCATAAAGACAACTTGTAGGACGTCTTATTGTGTTTGGTTGCAGGTAGAAGTGATGTGACTGGCACTACCCCTTTCTCATACCTCCTGATGAGCCTCGTTCCGCCCATCGGAGATCAACCCATTCTCATGTCCTTCAAAGATGTCCAGGACTTGTTCAGGGAAGTAAGTAACCAAACCTTTTATTGTTTGTGATATTGTGAGACTACCGTGTTCTAATATGCAGAGTATTGGCCCCCAGCCATGACAGGATCTGCTGACCATGATCAGATTCATCCCTGATCATGGTTGTTTTCTCCTGACCAAAGCTTCACTACAATGGTATGGCCAGCGTAGCTTAGTTCTTTGATCCTCTTTAAGATGAGGAACTGTGATTTAACTGAGTGTACACAATATAACTTATCTCATTGAATCCCTCTAGACCTGGTAATCTCAGAGCTGGTCACTTGTACACTCAGAACAACAGTGATGAATTTATCTTGAATATCTTGGAAATGATAAATTTGTATGGATACAATTCTAGTACTATTGTCAAACAGGAATTATCATGGTGAGGAGAGGATGCATATATACAGTGTGCATCTGCAGAACTATCCCTTTTATGTTTGTGTAGTTCAGCAATCGCCTGCAACAGATGCTGACTCAGGTACCGTACTGTGAGTTGTCAGGTCAATATAGAGTGGAGCAGAACTATATCACTGTTCTGTTTGTGTAGTTCAGCAATGCGCCTGCAACAGATGCTGACTCAGGTACCGTACTGTGAGTTGTCAGGTCAATATAGAGTGGAGCAGAACTATATCACTGTTCTGTTTGTGTAGTTCGGCAACGGCCTGCAACAGATGCTGACTCAGGTACCGTACTGTGAGTTGTCAGGTCAGAACAATGTGGAACAGGATGCTGAGAAGGTGTGCGCTAAGTTCCTGGAGAGGTGGGCCTCTGTGCCAAGTGTGGTGCAGAACCTGACCAGCAATGTCCACACCGGTCAACAGATGCCGACTGAGGCTGTCTCTACACTTCTGCAAGGTAGGCTGTGCATGTGCATGCTGGGCTTCAATTTGTTCTTAATATATCATGCAGTTGGCAATTTTAGCCACTTGTCCAAAGGCCTGGGTGCCATTGTACAAAGCAACCATAACCACAGTCATAAGTCTAGTTTGTACAATAGCACCCGGGTCTAGTTAAAATCTGTTTGGTCTATAAGAACTGCTTTGTAAAATGGCACCCTGGTCTAGTTAAAAACTCTTTGGTCTAATAAAATCAGCGTATAAACATTCATATAATAACATTAAAATGTACTGGTGCAATGTTGCCCGTGACACATCATATTGATACCTCAGTGTTTGAGTAATTCCTGAGGGTTATTCACAATCTGATGTGATGTTTTGTTTTGCAGCTCACAAACACTTGAATGCCTATGACTTGATGTACGATCTGTATTTGGCTGCTGTTGACATGGAGATGTATCATAGGTGAGTTCAATGAGCTTCAGAATTATTGTATTAACCTGCCAACATGCAGGTAACAGATATATGAAAAGAGCATATTAAAAATTTAAATGAAATCCATGTTAAATCAATACCCCTTACCTCAATCCATTCTATGACAAGTTTATGAGGTTGATGTGTTTAGGGTTTCAACATACTTTGCCTCTATTGTTTTTCAGCAAAGCACACTGGTCTAATATTCACCAGCGTTCATGGGAAGAATGTCTCCCTTTGCCCTTCATCAAGGAAGACTACATGCCCTGCAGTTTTACAGACTGCTTCGATGGAGGGAGTTCAGCGTTGTGCTACAAACACACATGGTCTCAGGTAGGTGTCAGGTGTGTGTTTCATACAAGCATGCAAGGTCTCATGTAGAAGTAAGTGTCTTGTGTTTGTTTTATACAAACACACATGGTCTCAGGTACATGTCGTGTGTGTTTCATACAAACACACATGGTCTCAGGTAGGTCTCTTGTGTGTGTTTCATGCAAACACACATGGTCTCAGGTTGGTGTCTTGTGTGTTTTTCATACAAACACACATGGTCTCAGGTAGGTGTCAGGTGTGTGTTTCATACAAACACACATGGTCTCAGGTAGGTGTCATGTGTGTTTTTCATACAAAAACACATGGTCTCAGGTAGGTGTCATGTGTGTGTTTTCATACAAAAAATGGTCTGGTGTCATTGTGTGTGTTTCATACAAACACACATGGTCTCAGGTTGGTGTCTTGTGTGTGGTTTCATACAAGTGTCACACATGGTCTACAAACACACATGGTGTCATGTGTGTGTTTTCATACAAACACACATGGTCTCAGGTAGGTGTCATGTGTGTGTTTCATACAAACACACATGGTATCAGGTAGGTGTCATGTGTGTTTCATACAAACACACATGGTCTCATGTAGGTGTCATGTGTGTGTTTCATACAAACACACATGGTCTCAGGTAGGTGTCATGTGTGTGTTTCATACAAACACATGGTCTCATGTAGGTGTCATGTGTGTGTTTCATACAGACACACATGGTCTCATGTAGGTGTCATGTGTGTGTTTCATACAAACACACATGGTCTCAGGTAGGTGTCATGTGTGTGTCATACAGACACACATGGTCTCAGGTAGGTGTCATGTGTGTGTTTCATGCAGACACACATGGTCACAGGTAGGTGTCATGTGTGTTTCATACAGACACACATGGCCTCAGGTAGGTGTCATGTGTGTGTTTCATACAAACACACATGGTCTCAGGTAGGTGTCTTGTGTGTTTCATACAAACACACATGGTCTCAGGTAGGTGTCATGTGTGTTTCATACAAACACATGGTCTCAGGTAGGTGTCATGTGTGTGTTTCATACAAACACACATGGTCTCAGGTAGGTGTCTTCTGTGTGTTTCATACACACACATAGTCACACATAGTCACACATGGTCACAGGCAGGTGTCATATGTGTGTTTCATACAAACACACATGGTCTCATGTAGGTGTCATGTGTGTGTTTCATACAGACACATGGTCACAGGTAGGTGTCATGTGTGTTTCATACAGACACACATGGTCACAGGTAGGTGTCTTGTGTGTGTTTCATACAAACACACATGGTCTCAGGTAGGTGTCTTGTGTGTGTTCTCAATACTTTCATGACACCCTGTCTATTTACATTCATAACAAGGGAGGCTATTTGTTGGTGCACATAACCTGATATAGTACTTACTTGTACCACTTTTCTTGGCTGCTGCCTGTTGTGTTGCCTACCAAGAGTTTATCACTGTTTATGAAATGTGCCTACTGAAAGCTTGTGAACACAATGTTTTGTGTCATTGTGATAGAATTCTATACTGATTTAATAATAAGCATAAAGTAATGAATAATAAATTAATCCAATTATGAAAAGAGGAACATTACAATGCACATTGTATCCGATGTCCATGATTCACTCCTTTCATCACTACTCTCATCCTTGATGATATGATTTTAAGGATTCATACCATAATGTGCTGGATCATACTGGGCTTTGTTGGCTCAGAGTCATGGCGCTGTTGGATCTATTTTGGTATCAGTCGCAATGGTTAGGTGAAATAGTTAAATGTATTATTTCAGATGATTGCAGCAGACGTGTTTGAAGCTTTTGAGGAAGTAGGTCTCCAAGATCAAGAAAAGTTGTCAGCTATTGGGAACAGGTGAGAACTGTAGTTTGAATCATCAGCTAGAGGGAGCCATTGTTGTATGCCATTAGCTACTGAACAGGAAGCGTACCATTATGTGGATGACTGAATACTGCCAGAAGAGTTTATCAGACAATGTACCTTGGGAATGGGAATCAAATTGTAACTTTCATGTGTTGTAACCGGGAATAACTTTCCCACGTTTTTAGCAAATCCATAAAAAGCTTTCACACCTTCTACCTGGGGAATCCAAGAAGAAATACCACTCTTTTGACTTGTGGAATCAAAGAATAACGTTGGCAGTTTGTACAAGGGGAATGTATAAATAGCTTCCACACGTTGTCATTTTGGAATCCAAGAATAGCTCCTCCCTGTATCATCTTTCTTCACGGTATGTTGCCGGATCGTAGTTTCTCGGAGTAACATCCTTCCGAGGTTCAACAAGACTCTAAAGTTTGACAGTACAGGACAGACCAATACTCTCCCAAGGTTCAACTACTACAGATTGACGACCTCCTATAGAATGCTCCTCATCCAAAGACTTCCAACATAGTATAATACTTTGTCCGTCCTCCAACATCATATATTAACATCATGCTTTGTCCAACCTCCAACATCGGATATTAACATCATGCTTTGTCCGACTCTCCAACATCGGATATTAACATCATGCTTTGTCTGTCTGCCAACATCGAATATTAACATCATGCTTTGTCCGACCTCCAACATCGGATATTAACATCATGCTTTGTCTGACCTCCAACATCGGATATTAACATCATACTTTGTCCAACCTCCAACATCGGATATTAACATCATGCTTTGTCTGACCTCCAACATCATATATTAACATCATGCTTTGTCCAACCTCCAACATCAGATATTAATATCATACTTTGTCCGACCTCCAACATCGGATATTAACATCATACTGACCTCCAACATCGGATATTAACATCATACTTTGTCTGACCTCCAACATCGGATATTAACATCATGCTTTGTCTGACCTCCAACATCGGATATTAACGTAATGCTTTGTCTGACTTCCAACATCGGATGTTAACATCATGCTTTGTCCGACCTCCAACATCGGATATTAACATCATGCTTTGTCCGACCTCCAACATCGGTTATTAACATCATACTTTGTCTGACCTCCAACATCGTATATTAATATCATGCTTTGTCTGACTTCCAACATCGGATATTAACATCATGCTTTGTCCGACCTCCAACATCGGATATTAACATCATGCTTTGTCTGACCTCCAACATCGGATATTAACATCATGCTTTGTCTGACTTCCAACATCGTATATTAACATCATGCTTGGTCTGACCTCCAACATTGGATATTAACATCATGCTTTGTCCGGCCTCCAACATCGGATATTAACATCATGCTTGGTCTGACTTCCAACATCGGATGTTAACATCATGCTTTTCGCCGACCTCCAACATCGGATATTAATATCATGCTTTGTCCGACCTCCAACATCGTATATTAGCATCATACTTTGTCCGACCTCAAACATCGGATATTAACATCATCCTTTTTCCCACCTCCAACATCGTATATCAACATTATGCTTTGTCCGACCTCCAACATTGGATATTAACATCATGCTTTGTCTGACTTCCAACATCGGATATTAACATCATGCTTTGTCTGACTTCCAACATCGGATGTTAACATCATGCTTTGTCCGGCCTCCAACATCAGATATTAACATCATACTTTGTCCGACCTCCAACATCGGATATTAACATCATCCTTTTTCCTACCTCCAACATCGTATATTAACATCATGCTTTGTCCGACCTCCAACATTGGATATTAACATCATGCTTTGTCTGACTTCCAACATCGGATGTTAACATCATGCTTTGTCTGACTTCCAACATTGGATATTAACATCATGCTTTGTCCGATCTCCAACATCGTATATTAACATCATGCTTTGTCTGTCTGCCAACATCGAATATTAACATCATGCTTTGTCCGACCTCCAACATCGGATATTAACATCATGCTTTGTCTGACCTCCAACATCGAATGTTAACATCATGCTTTGTTCGACCTCCAACATCGGACATTTACATCACTATTTGTCAGATCTCCAACATCAGATATTAACATCATGCTTTGTCCGACCTCCAACATCGGATATTCACATCATACTTTGTCCGATCCAATGTTGGAGGTCGAGTGAATTAAATTCTTGCATATATTCTGTATATCCCATGACAGTTAAAACCCTCATGTTAGTGATTTTAATTCTGTGACAGTACTGTTCTTGTGGTTGCAGGTTCCGTGACACATTCCTGACACTTGGTGGAGGTGTGCATGCCAGTGAGGTATTCAGGAGATTCCGTGGCCCGTGACCCATCCCTCGATGCGCTACAGAAATACTATAGTGAGAAGTAAAGTGTGTGTGTTATATAGAAGATTGAATGACAAGTGTGGCAGAAAAGGACAACGTGATGACATGATGATGTTGAAATATGTGGTGTTGCCATAGGTAACCATCAGCCACCAGGTGATGTGCGATGGCCACGTGAGAAAAAAAGAGACCATGTTTAAACTCCTGCAGTGATGGACAGGGATTGTCAGGTAAAAAAGAAGAAACCATCAAGTTTATTCAAATAAGGTCAGTGTGGACTACAGCAGACATGTGCAATGCTGTTCAATCATTTGTATGACTTGTAAATAATGAAATGGCAGTAAAATGAAACCAATATTTGTTGATAAAGAATGCAGAAAGTATTAAAAAAGTGCTAGTTCCTAATACTGCCTGCCTTATCTGTGAATGTTAGGAATGTAAATTATCATTGATATTCTGTGTATATCAAGTTGTTTCATGTGATCACAGGGAACATCTCAATAAATCATAATCAAATCAACTGTGTTGTTTGTCATTTCAAACTAATGTCTGCAAAACCCCACACAAACAAAAAACTCAGAAAGTTTTTTCTCCATTCATTTTTTTTTTGCAATGGGGCTCCTTCGTTAAAATATGCTACTTGTTGGTCCCTGCCAGGCGTTTGGCATTAATGGGTACAACAAGGACTGGTCGGCTCGGAGTCAGTATAATGTGTCTGAGTGGGGTATTCATGCTTCACTGCAGCATGGTATCTCAGTGGGCTAGCACTATAAAACCAGCTTAAGTCTGGGCTAGTACAAGCAGCCGCAGATATACACATACACACCCATGCACGTCGTCATATGAGCGAAATATTCTCAAGCACGACGTAAAACCCAATTTCACCTCACCTCACTGTTGTTTGTGTTGTCATACAATTTGACTCAGTATTAGAATCAAACGCAGTGATGTCAACATCATTTGGCAAAGTTGGTTGGTTTGTTGTTTAATGCCACACTCAGCAGTATTCCAGCTATATGGCAGCGATCTGTAAATAATCAAATCTGGACCAGACAATCCAGTGATTAACAGCATGGGCATCGATCTACGCAATTGGGATACGAAGACATGTGTCAACCAAGTCAGTGAGCCTGACCACCTACATACAAATAACAGATGCAGCTATAGAAATTGGCCTTTTGCAGTTTTTCACACAACATGATTGTTTTGCTAATATCCTAGTTTCTAAGATGTCTAGCGGTTAGAACAATCGAAAAAAACAACATTATCAGACAATAAAGGTATAATGTCTTTCAGTGGTATTTAGAAGTTGTACATTGATGTCCAAGATGGTTTTTTTCTCTAGCGGTACAACAATTAAGACTCTCCTCCGGGCAAATGGAAGAGGATCTAGCAATGGAAGCCCCAACCCTAGAGGATGTGTATACCAAATACCATGCAGTTGTGGCGATCAATATATTGGCGAGACTCTCAGGCCCATTAACACCCGGGTTGCTGAACACAAGTCGTCAGTATGCAAACAAAATGATAAGTCAGCTATATCGGAGCACAAGGCAAATAACCCAAGTCATGTAATCATGTGGAATGATATCAGGGTGATTTCGAGAAATAACAACGACTGGCGTCGGAGAAAACTACAGGAGGCTGTCGAAATAAGGAGACAAACCAGCAATTAATCGTGATCAAGGTGTATACCTGCCAAGTGCGTGGGACCTCTTGATTAACTTTTGATGAACTTTAGATAAAAGAAAAGACGAGTCTACTATTCTTTTTGGAAAGCCTGCTATCAAGTAACGTTTGTGTAATTAGCAGTTGTTGTGTATTGACAATTCAAGTTTCAACTCTATTATTTAGCATGAATTTTCATCATTATGTAATTAACTCTTCAAACTCACTTATACAGTACTCCCTAGTGTACTGTGATGTCACTTGCATTGTGAGGTCATAGTGACGACGTCATAGTCCTAACTGCCAGTTCACCTGATGAAGGGACCTGGAATGGTCTCGAAACGTCGTGAGAGAAATTAAAAAGAAGTTTAATCCATAAAAACATCTTGGACAATAAAGGTATAGTTTTTTGATGACGTAACAATTGAATGACGTTATCCCGTCACTGCGCCATTCTAGTGTGCCCCCTCGTAATCGAACCATTTTACATTACGTCACAATGTAAGCGACGTCACGATGCATGTCAGTTGTCATCGCTTCGTACAGCCTCCTACTGTAAACTACTCCGTTGCATCCCGTTTCTTGGTTTGCAGTTGCTTTACGCAGCTAACATCACTGGTGGAAACATTACGTTTATGTTTTACGATGGTTAAAATGTGTCAATTCGACTCACAAGTTTTCAGACACACGGTTCGCAATGTTTACATTCCCACAATGCAATCGTGGAATGTCGCTTGACTACTCAGCTTCATCTGGATGTACTGATCTAAACTTACGTTGGTAGTAGAAATGCGACGTTCATATTGCCCCATATGGTTTACGTTAAAGGCAGATGTAATTAAAATAATTCAGAGAAGATATTTAATCCGAACGTAAACCGTCATCAAACTGTTATCATTTGTTTTTTTCTGGTAACGTTCGTCTTAACGTAGGGGGGGTCAGACACATCAATAGAACAGCACGCCAGTTAGCCCTGTGCGAGGATTCTTAATTTAGGTCACCGACACCGTCGTTTGTTTTCTGCCTTAAATTAATCGTAATTATCCTTAGAAAGTATTAAATTTGGCATCTTAGAAAAGAAATACAGTTCGCTCTACCACCATGTATAGTTTAATAAAGCACACTTTCGCCCTGAACTATTATAACGTTGAAGCACTCGGACGCAAGCGTCCTCGTACTTTAACTATAATAGTTCAGGGCGAAAGTGTGTTTTATTACACTATACACGGTGGTAGAGCGAACTGTATTTCTTAATTAGACTAATCAAAATAGTAGGCAATGTTCCAGCTGTATCTCAGAGACCTGTTAGTAAAAAAAGTCACGTGGTTGACACAATGAGCATCACCCTGTGCCGTTGGGGTATAATGTACACAATCAAGGAAGTTGCACAGCCTGAACACCCAGATCCATGTAGTCTGGATCCATTATGGCCACACCACAGTGACCTGTAAATTGGTAAGATTAATCTCCTATATCTCTGACCAGCTTCAAATATTGGCAGAATCTTTAAGACTTACCCACTGGTCCATTTGGGGAGCAGCTGACACTCAGCACAGCAAATTACATCAGCCTCAAATGCGTTAAAGTTGACATTCAAGTCACTCATTATATCCATACAGGCAACTCCTGTAAGCTATTATATCCCATACAAACATCTGTAAATCAATATATGCCATACAAACATATCCTGTAAGTCATTATATCCCATACAAACGGCTCCTGTCAGTTATCATTTCCTAACACAACAGCTCCTGTCAGGTATTATAACCTTAAACAACAGCTCCTGTCAAGTATTAATACTAGTATATCCTTAAACAACAGCTCCTGTCAGTTATTATATCCTTAAACAACAGCTCCTGTCAGGTATTATATCCTTAAACAACAGCTCCTGACAAGTATGTAATCCCGTACAGACAGATTGTCAATTATCATATCCCTACAGATCAGCACCTGTCAGTTTTATTACATACAGACGGCTCCTGTCCATTTTGATATCCCACACATGCAACTCGGATTACACCTTTTTTTTATCCCATCGTGTCTGTTTTGGGTTTTTGTTTAAACCTATACTTCTGCAAACAGTTCTTGTTGGTCATTATATCCCTTACAGATTGAACATCTCAGACAGTCAAAAGGGGCTGACTTGAGATACTTGAAAACATCGTGAGAATTACCTAGGCAGTACAAAGGTTTCAGCAAGCTGGATTCCAAGGCTTCTTACTCAATACTCACCATCCTTCGTTAGAATTTACGTGGTCTTGAAGAAAGCTATGGATAAGATTGGTAAACCATTATCCAAGAGAGACAAGACAACAGTCAGAAATTGAATGCCTTAGACGAAGGAGGCAAAGTCTGTTCCAGGAGCCGGTTTTCTTAGATTCCAAAGGAATCCAACTGCTAGACTACCTCCCGAAAGGTCAGAACATTAATGGCCAATAGGATGCTAATCTATTCTGACAATATGAGAGTAGCATGACTAAACCTTTTGGAATATTCACTAAAGGTTCTACAAGGGCAATGCACCTGTGCAGTCGTTTTGCCGCCATGACTGCAATACACGAATGTGGCTTTGAACTCCAGGTTTGTGGCCGTCACAAGTTTTCCGTAGACAGATGGTGACAGAGAGTTAGCTAGAGTAACTCTGAGAATATGTAACTCTGAAAATATATAATTTTATCAAACCAAATAACTCCATTTCATTTGAAAATGAGCCCCACTGAACCGGAGACAAATCTAAACTTACTTCGTTTATGGCATTTGCATTGCATAAAGAGCTGGGCGGAAGGACATGTGGTTCAGGAATTTGTGAGACAGACTAAGAATCTTGGCGGGGGTCAGCTGTCCAGAGTCAGATTCGACCAGGGACACAATATATAGATTTCAACACTTGAATGAGTAAAAAGTAATTTTGTTTTGTTCCTAAATCTGCGAATCTCAGACATATATTTAATTTTAATGATTTTGTTCCTGCCAATTACACACTTAAAACGCAATATCCATGGGATATCAAGAAAAAGAACCAATTTTGGGTCAGTGTATGAAATACCTGAAACTTATACATGATTGTTGAGATCGGAAAGGTAGTACAGCAAACATAAAAGTTTCATTTATATTAGATTAAGAAAACTGAATAAGAAAAGACGAGAAAATGGGATTTACGTATTCCATAATCCCGCTCTTATCTGAGGCCTCTAGTCTGTAGACAGACGCTCATCTATCGATGGTTTTTACTTGTTTGAAACAAAATGAGCAGAAGAAATCTGGTCGGGTACGTTTTTAACAAAAGATTTTAGCGGTGGGCAGTTTTATACCGCGAGGAGTTATGCGCCACTTTCAGATGGCGCTGTTGGGGTCACGTGTAGGCGTCGTCTGCAAAATGTCCCCGAGAATGAAATATAGAACGTACGCAATATAACATCGAAACAGTTATCTTAGGTAATGTGTGACCCATATGAGGCCTGCATATTATGTTCTGGTTTACACGATTACTATTGCCAACTGTTATAATCTTTTGAATATGCCTACTTAATGGATACCAATACTTTATGACGAAGTTGTTTAGGAGGGAGTTTCAAATATCTGTTTCATATAAAACATGTTTGTTTTTTATTTATCTCAGATTGTACAAAAATACCCACATATCTATAATAATTATATTATGATACTGCATTTTCATTTCATTTCCAAACATATCAAAACAACATATCAAATTAAATACAGACCACAAATACAGCTACGATATTGCTAGTGAATTTTTATACGCAAGATCATTCAAACCAAATTAACATTATTTTATCACATTAACTTTCCTACAAATGCCTCCTTGTGTCATAACTCGACTTCAGCTTTCTACTTTTGAATCCTGATCAAGTACATTCTCAGTTTTATCAAACCGATTTATACCTAAATTCTTCAGTCTTAATTTTCTTTTCATCATCGTTTGGAGATAAATGTTCTACATTGAAAATCTTGCAGGTGAACATGGACAAACAAGTGCACATCGGTCACATTGTGAGTACTGATGCACTTGGATTGTCACTGCATGACACAGCAAAGGCGGGCAAGAAAAAGCTTTTGAAAAATATTTTGAAGAAAGGTAAATGGCTTAAACTTAAACTGTCTTATATATAACTGACATTATAAAGAAAGTATTGTCTCATTCGTTACTGTTACTAAAGGTAAAGTACTCAATGCATTAATGATGCAAAAGTCATTGTTCTTTGTAAAAAAAAATTCTAATATCTCTTTGGGATATATTTGTCACAAATGGCCATGAAAAATACATGATTTGAGGGCACTGATGTGTATTTTCACTTATATATTTTGTGTTTTAGGGATATTTGTTGACTATCCAAATGATGAAGGACAGTCAGCTCTGTTTTGTGCTTGTTGTGAAGACAAGTATTCTTCAGCACAACTGCTTCTTAAATTTGGTGCAAATCCAAATGAGTAAGTAATCAGAGATGTTTAGATAGACTCCAGGGAAGTAAAATTTTAAGTTCCCGGACAATGGGTACATCCAGTGGTTTGAAGGCTCGGTACTTGAGTGGGTCAGAATGTTGACTTGTGTGCTGGAAATTTGATGCCTCACTCTGAGCATGTGTATTTTAATTCTGAATTCAACTCATTGGCCCAAAACAGTATCTGTTTTGAACAAATGAACAAATCTGTTCATTACTAAGAAAGTGTAATCCAAAATATAAAACATGTTAGCCCAAACCTGTCTCTTGACACCCTTTACAGTAGATCTTAATGTTAATGTATGAATGGTATAAAAATTCATACAAGACTGAAAACTTTTTCCTAGACTTGGTCTACAGAAGTGACATGTGTGTAGCTGTTAGTAGTCCACTTACTTGTATTTTGAGTGCCTAATTCTTTTGGACACATGTCCAGTTCAACAAGATTTATTTAAAAGTTTTCACAAATAGTCACAGTTTCACACGCAAGGTGTTGTCTTGCAGAAGAAGCAACAGTGGGATGACCCCTCTGCATATGGCCTGCTACAGTGGCAACACAGGTCTCTTGGTGAAGCTGATTGAGGCCGGAGGGGATCTCAGACTGCATGACTATGATGGAAGATCTGCCAAAGACTGGGCTGTTGCCAACAGGGACCCTAAAAAGCGTAGGAAAATGGTAGAGTTCCTGGAAAAGGCCCACATGTATGCGATGACCCATTCAGGAAACGATACAACAGCTTCCAGACATATTGACAGCAGGTTGGAAATGCCAAGTTTTATAAATTTGTGTGTCTGGACACTGGAATAACATACTACTGCAAAATGATAAGTGGACTGATGAAATGATAGTGTAGATGTTATTTAAATAAATGTCGATAATTTATATTTTTGGCATGTACTGTCTGCCATTCCAACCGAAGAGGTACACCAAGTTGTCCCATGCTATTGGAGTTACATATCCTTCACTGAATTCTTGATTTCAGGTGAACAACATAAATCCATTTTTGAATGATACTTATAACCCTCAGCAAAGGCAATAGATTTAATGTCCATTGCATGCACCTCCGATACTCTTGAGGCCGTGGTGAAGGCCAGGAAGAAAGCTGTCTTGAAACTTAAATATTTCAGAGAGGTATCTTGCATAGGTTCAAAAGGGTATCTCTGTAAATCTGTACTACTAAACATAGGTCCCACTTGGGAAACACTGTTGGAGATGTAATGTCCTTAATCTGAAACAATCTAATCAGCTTGTGCAAGGAATGAATTGATCGGAAATACTTGATTAGGAGATATATATAGTAGAACATATTATCTTGTAAGGGAGAAAGAGTCTACTCAACTAGTGGTTTAGTAGTTATCTTCTTTCACATTATTAACACAATCCTATGATGTTATCAGTGTTGTATACATTACTAAGTCATAGTTATCCTAAGAGGTCTAAGATGGTTGAGGAATATTTATTAGTGGTATGTTAGAGAATTATACTTCTTGGGATAGCCCTCCTTCCGTACGTGGGATTCAGGCAACCATAATCCAGAGGGAATGTTTACACTATAATTAGGAACGATTACATACATACTGATGCCGGTATTGACAGAGTACACTGTATATTGTTAGTAATTATTAGTAAACGTACCCGCCCGACCAACCTCCCTGCCTTATCCTCTAGAAGATAGTTTTTTCTTTGGAAAAATTGTGAGGTTTTTCAAACAACAATGGTGTGGTGACATGTCAAGGGGAGGTAACTCTATCGGTTAGGAGGGAGACATACCACTAGGGATAGCTATGACTTGGGGTTAAAATTTTCATTTCATTTTCTGTGTGTGTCTGTGGAAACCGCAGAATTAAGGCAACCATAATCCAGAGGTAAGTTTACTAATAATTACTAACAATATATGTAATTGTTCCTTATTTGCAGCATAGACATATCAAATATGTTGTATTTCACTCATTTAATTATTTCCATTTTAACAGCTCTGGCATGATACCATCAGTCATTCAGATGTTGAAGAAGAGAATAGGATTTGATCCAAGTATTCACATTGACCCACTGAAGAGGGTGCAAAGTATGGGGTTTGGAAGTGTAAGAAATAATTATTGTTTGATATGTTCATAATGGGATCTTATTAATTTATGGCAGATCATATAGTCAGCAGCAAAAAAACGTCAGTACGAATTCAAAATTAGGCACTGTATTCAAATCAATACAGAAATGGACATAATAAGAAGATCAAAAACATTTTTTGTGTACAATATCCTGACACATCAATGAGGATAACTCAGCATAACTCCAAGACATTACATGAACATTTGCAGTCCATTCAGACTCTTGACTTCAGTAGCTAGTGTGACCACCACGAGTGACAATAACTGCAGCACAGCGTCTATGCATGGAGTGCACCAATCGATTGATGAAGGCCACTGGCACCTGGAACCACACTCTGAGAAAGGCCTGGCGCAATAAATCGTCTGTGTTCGGCCTTGGTATGACATTATTCAGTCTCCTCTGAATTTCATCCCAAAGGTGTTCAAATAGGTATAAATCAGGACTAAGGGCTGGCCACTGCATAATGTTGACACCGTTAGGGGAAGTCCCGTGTAGCTCTGGCAGTATGGGCCTGGGCGTTATCATGCTGGAAAATGTTGTTCCAGTGACATGCGACCTTTCCGTGTGTTCCCACTGTCTAGCGTGCTGTTTCGGATGCCTGCATGAAGGGATTCTGTACATGCTGTCACACAACATGGCAGTCTTGTCGTCTTGTGGTGACCCTTGCTCTGCCAGTACGGGGGCTATCATTTGTGGTGTTGGTGGCCCGGAAACCTTGCTGCAGCCTGTAGATGGTCCGAACGTTGACCTGGAAGTGATTGGCAACGGTTTGTGCAGTGTGGCCATCTTCAAGTCTTCCTAGCGCCTGGTTCTTTTGAGCTGTCTTGAGTCGCCGCATCCTGCTGACGTTGTAATGTGGATGTTTCAACCAGGTTTGGGGGTGCCTTTTATAGGGCTGGTCCTTGTGAACAGCATGTGAAGCATGAGTTGCATACAAAACATGGAGAACACCGTACCATCTCCGAGATCAGGTTGCGTTTTTGAGACCATTTCCTGGGTTCCATTCTGAGTTTAGGAAGGAATGTCTTTGCTCAGGTAAAGTTGGAGATGTTGTCCAAAATATACAATCAAAACATTAAATGAGTTTGCAGTTATCCGTTTTCCTGCGAAGGAAAATTCCAAACTGACGTTTCTTTTGCTGCTTAGTATATATTGGTTCATCTGATAATTCCTATAAATTGGAATTGATGGAACTCAATCATGCACACTGATATATCACCAAGTATACTATACAGCAGTAATTTTGCAATGACTGATTATTGGTCATGAATTATTATTGATGGAAAGGATCTCAACCAGTTCCAAAAAATACTGTGCATACTGAAAGTCGGACATTGACTTCTTCATCAGGTGTATTTTGGAGGGGAAGCACCAGGAGCTGTTGTCTCTGCAATACCAGTTGTCAGTGAGAATGCTCTGTATCATGACACACATGGGGTAACATATGAAAATGGATCATTTCTTGTCATGGAAAGGTAATGTGTATTGTTAGTTTATACTGCAAGAATATATAAGACTGATTAACATTGTTTTTGTTTTATTTTTCTTTGTGGGCTGTCTTTGAAGTTGTGTTGTGACAGTACTTTATGGTGCAGTGTGTTTGCTTGACAAATGTAAGGACATTTTCATGATTTGTTCAACTTTTGATAGTACATTCTTGAACATCCTAATCAAATTTTGGAAAATGAACTAGTTAAACACATACATCTAAAATAATTTTAGGATCATTCTGGTTAACAGAATAGATATGTAAACATTGTATTAATACAAAATGAGAGACAGTGACTGTTTCTGACTTCAACTCACAGTATGACCTGGAACCATACACCAGTGACAGTGAAACGGCTCCATAAGCAAGCTCATCCTGGTGGTTACGTTGATGTTCTCATCAATGAAATGGAACAGTTAGGGTAGGTGAAGTGCGAAGAAAATTGCTATATTTCATTATAAAATATCTTTCGGTCAATTTTTTTATTACAACATTTATATTTTCTTTAACAGTGTCAGGGTGGCTGACAAGACAATGTACACTGCGGTAGTGATAAGGATTAAGATTGCAGATTGAATAATTACAATTAAGTCTCACATGGCTTGGCTATATAGTTTTTGGTCTTTAGAAATATTTGGATGATGGCTGTCCTGAATTAGACGCTATAACAAATCACTTAAAATAATATGGTGATCATAAATGCTTAAACCCATTCCTTTAGATTTCTGTTGAACCAATATTAACATATAGGTATAGGAGGAACAGCCAAGTAAGGTTTCAGCCCTAACTTTGATACACGGCAGTCAGAAAAGCAAAAGTATGGTTGTTCCATAGTGTTGTAAGTAATCATGATATGTTATATATTATATATGTTACTACATGTATTGATTTCATTTTTTCATGTGCACCTTAACTATTGCAGGAAAATTCGCCACCCTAATGTTTTGCTGTTAATGGGAATTTGCCAGACAACAAGTCTTGATTCAATTGTCCTAGTTTTCGAGAGGATATACCTTGGATCACTCTACTATTATTTGCATCAAAGGGTAAGTGATAATATATAAATGAGAATTTTATGCATGAACTGGTGCCATTTAGTGTTTTCAATTAACAATCAACTCTTAGAAGAAGACTGAGACACATGCCATATTGTACTGAAGCTTTTCTTGCTTACAAAGTATATAAATCATTTTATGGTTTCTAAATATACTACTCACACTTTGCTAAGGATCACAACAATTCACAACTTTACTTAAACGTAAATTTATAATTTGAAATTGTATCTTTTACAACTGGATAAATAATAATATGGCAACCCCTCTTTAGGCAAATAGTCACTTTAATCTGACCTATATGCACTTGAAACATGTGTAACCATAAAAATGGTTTTCATGACACCATTCAACTATTTTGCAAATCATGGAACGAGTCATTGACAAGTACACAACATCTGTCAATAGCAGGTTTGGGGTCCACAAGATGAAATGACTTACTGAAACCTAGGATCCATGCTTACAATAAGCTTAGATATTTACACCAGATTTGACCCCACATCATAGTTTTCTGTTGAATTCATGATTTGATCATTTGCAAAGTGTGAATAGTATATAAAGCACTTACTCTAAGCTCAACATGTCATGCATTTGTTTCAGATTGAGAGATTGCCTACGCAGAACATTCGAGATATCCTTCTACAGATCTGTAGTGCACTAATGTTCCTCCACAACCAGAATTACATTCATTGTAATCTGTCTTCACATGCCATCAGCCTTGTTACACCTTTCAATGCAAAGCTTGGAAATTTTGAGCACATGATCGACAGGTGAACTACATTTTTGCAAACTGGTCATACTTATCAATATGATGTGCAAACACTATCCTTATATGGATCTGTGAGTTTTCATTCTCCAGTATATGTTAAAGGGTAATGGTATTTATTCTTTGACCTCACAACTTATTACAAATAAACACATGCAAACAACAATTCATATCCCACTGTTAAACAAATGTATAATGGTATGTCATTACTACTGGCAAACAAGGATACGTTGAGCACCGACCTGACAATTGACCCGTATTAGCATGTATGAGTGCCGCCCATTGGCGCTTGCCATTGTTAGTGAAGGGGCCCCAGGTTGTCCTCGATCAAGTGTAGTGCGATGGGTGAAGCAAGGCGTAAGGCACGGAATCAATTTCATCGTCATGCAATGCACATGCACTAGCCTACATCTGCTCTACCTTTCACAAACCAAATGGGTTTGCTCATTGCCGTGCACTGCCTACTTCTCGTTAACACTTTCTCCAACAGGCTGGTCCAACTTATCCCTGTTTGTAAGTCGTGCTATATTTTGGTGAATATACTTGTCATTTTGTGCTTTTGTCTTGGAGTGTTCATGCATTATGATTAGCAATGATTAAATGTAACTAGCAGTAAAACTTACATTTATGTATATACTTCATTGTATATTGAAAATTATATGTCTGGCAGTGGTAAAGCTGACATGGGGAAACAGAGTGCAGTATCACAGATCAGATACCAAAATGCTTTGTACAACTGGATGGCCCCTGAGCTGATGCAAGAGCACCCAGCCACTTTCCTCTGTGATGTCTACAGCTACTCTTGCATTATCTGGGAGATGTTTGAATGTAAATCATATTCTGTTTCATCTCAATGTGCCCAAATATCCAAGTGTCCTTATGTCCCTCGATTCCTTTCTCTGAAATGGCTAAAGCAATGAATCTTTAACATATAGAAGATATCAAGATAATACATGTGCTGGTAAATAAAAAAAAGATTACTGGGTATCATAAACAATTTTCAAAAATTAATGTGTAAAGCCAACTTTAGAATCTTCTGAAAAAACACAAGTTCCTGGAAGTTGAAGTTGTGATATGTTTTACAACAGTTGGATTAATGTCATTGTTCACATTGGTCCAGGTGAGATTCCATGGGATATGTGCGATGCAGAGTTGATCAAACACAAGCTATTGGTGGAGAAACAGCAACTCCGTGTTGAATCAACTAAAATGCCAAATCTCTTCAAAAGCATTGTATCAGTAGGATTAGAGTTAGAACCCTACAACAGAAATGCAGACTTTGACAAGATGCACCAGTGGCTTCTTTCACCTCCTGACGAGCCTATTACGAACACAGTAAGATTTTTCATCTCAGTAACATCAGTAATTACAACTCCCACCGGTTACGATTTGCCAGATGGTTTTGTACAAAATGCATGATCCCATAATTACAGAAATATTCTCCTTGCAGCAAATCTGAAAAGTATTGAAATTACGAGATAATGACCATAAAACAATGTAAAATTGACTGTTAGATGACTGAAGTACTTGCAAGTACAGTAGCAGCTTCCACTGCTTTCCTCGAAGTTCCTCCAAATCAAAACATGCACTTCCGGTCCCAAAACACTACTTCCAGGCTTTGACTTCTTGGATACAGAAACTACAGAAAAATTAAACATACATTGACATTTCATCATGCATCCTCAAAGAAGATCTTTGATAAACATGTTATGTGCATGTCAAAAGGTTCCCACATCTCCAAGTAAAGGCTCAACAGGAAGAAGATCAAAGCCAACTTCTGCCACATCCTCACCTTCTAGGAGACATGGGAAGAACTCATCTAGGAACCATTCACCATCTGCTGATCCTGTGTACAAGGAAGAGTACAGTCCAAATGGAAAGAGACGAAAACCTCACATCAGCAAACAAGACTACCACAATGAAAACTACCATAATCTTCATTCTCCAAAAGCTGGTAAAGGAAACCGGTAAGTTCACAATAACCAGGGGACACTATAATTATATAAAGTGTATTACACAGTATGCTGTAGTTCACTCACACCACTGACCAAGTTATATTTCTGTAAGAAAGCACAGTGCCTTGTCTTGAAAGCTGAACCTGAGGGACCATTTCAAAAGTTCTGTGTCAGATAAAAATGTAAATTTTTTCTGTTTGGGGGTGAGGGGTAAATGGCCCTGAAAATCATGTACCATATTTCTCATTTTTTAGAAAGTAAATATGATAAGCAAAAGCTGCCAACTTACTTCATTGATCCTATTTTTGTAGAATGTAAGAATTATAGGGTATGAAAAAGGATATGTTGTACATGTCATCAGTTACTCAGAGACATTGTGTTTTAGAAAACATGTTTGAATATATAAATTGATACGGTATCAATTCGAAGATATCACATTTATCTATTTATCACATGTTGTCACTCTCTTTTTCTTCTTTTTGTCTCCTCACAGAGTGAAGATTGTTGAAAACGATAATTCACAGTGTGATGAAGGAAAACATGACAAGACAAGCTATGGAAAGATACCTTTTGCTGCTGGACAAAGGTAAGGGACTAAAGAATGAACAGTGCAGCTATATTGTTACTGACGATGCTTTATTGAGACTATTCCTTTTCTGTTACATGGAATGAGTTTTTCAGACAGAATTTAAGATACCAGGTAATATTTGATTGGTATTTAGAACATTTTTTTTATAATTATTTTTCTCCTTGATATTATTGTTGGTTGTTATTCGTTGCAGTGACTGGATGTGTAACTATGAGCGAAACAAGGATAGAGATTTCTATAGTTACACAGCCAAGTTACAGAAAGACAAAAGGCAGTTTGAAAAGGAAACTACTTCTCCCAAAGAATATCTTTTGGATGGGTCATCAGAAACTTGCAGTGGTGATGATGATGACACAACTACACTGAAACAATACCTGCAGAAGAAAGCAGCAGCGGAATACTATGGGGAGAGAGAAGAGAAAGAGGCCTTGAAGAAGGAACAATATGACTCTAGGTTTGATACTTTTACTTTGTTTTTGTACTTCTTTATGTTTAAGGTAATTGTTACTCACAATTTGAGTTGAACCACCTCAAGTCATTACTTCCATGGGATATATAATATAGCTTTTATAGTACTTCATAGACAAATGTGATAAACATTGTGTATAGTGTTTGAAATAGGCGTAAATTAAGTCTAACATGAAAAACTTCAAAAAGGTTAAGCGGTCCTTAGATTCAAATAGTATTAAAGTAAGTGTTATTTACCAACCTTAATTACAAGCATTGTCTGTAGTATAAATTGGCTGGGGAATCATTTCCAACTACAAGCCTACATTTGTTTGACATGATAGAAATTTTATATGGCTTTTGTGTTTGGAGTGCCGTTATGGGCACAGAAATATTATGTTTACTTTGTTTTGTAGTGATAATGGTTTCCTTATTCTAGTTTTAACATCTTGTAATGACTGCAGTTTCAGGGACTGTGGGGGGCAGCCCAGTCAGGTCTCCTCCATTGTCACCGTCCCAATTCAGCTATCTGAGACTGAGTGAGAAATCAGGTGGTGGTCAGTCAGTGGTAAAACCTGCCAGCCACTGTACAGAAGCTGGATGTCCAAAATCATCTGGCCAACTCACAACAGCTGGAAGCCTCTTTGCACTGTACAACTCTGGAACAGACCTTCAAGAATTGGCCAAATTAGCCATTGGTGCACCTGCAAATCCATATGGCACATTCCCCAGGAAGAAGAAGTCAACACAGTACTATGATGATGATGAACCAAGAGAACTTCATATGTTGTCATCAGAGTATGTATAATGGCAGATTTGGTAAAATTGTTTGAAGATATATAAATTAAGTTGAAGTAATATGGAGTAAACGTCATTCGATCAACTGATTAAAGATAATGTGACAAATATTAAGTGTAACAACAGACTATTTCGAATATGGATGCTAAATATATATTAAATTTGTTAACATTTTATATAGAAGTTTATTCTCATGAGAAAAGAAAAACAGCTTGAGTCTCATCAAAGTGGTAAACATGTAAGACCTGTGTCTTTAGGCACGAACACTAAGTTGTGATTGCATTGTACACTGAAATCTGTTCAAAGCGTCATTACACCAATCTCACCCTAGACTATGCAATTTTAATGTTTAACTTTATCTAATCTCAAGCTTATTTTTCACAGACAAGAGGCTGATCCCATGTGGTTTGGAGGAAAGGGCAGTGTCAAAAATCTGGTTCACCTGTTTCAGGAACAGAATGATAATGTAAACTAACAAACATACACATTAAATTTTCTCTCATCTCTTTATCAGTTCACAGTTCAATTTATGATTTTAAGTGTTCCATCTTATCATTTCATGGTCAGAGACACCTCAATATTTTTATGAGATGCCAGAATAGTAGTACAATGTGTTTGTAATAGAATACTTTTTGTGCATTTCAGCATGAATTTCAGCAAAACGTCCTTCAGGGTAAAGTAGACTATGACAGTGCTGGCAGGAACAGTAAAAGAAAGGTACATACAATCTTTTAACACGATTGTATCAATTGCATTGTGAGTCATCATTGGTATTATTGTATTGTGTCATCACTTTTAGACAAAGTTAGACTTTTTTCAATTTCTGAGAACAGAATAAGATTTTAGAAGATGACTGACTATCTTGTTTGTCTCTCATTTGTAGGCAAAAACTCCTGACAGACTCTACTCAAGAGTGAATTCAAGAAAATCACCTGTCGTCAAAGGTATGAACAAACAGTAACTTTATATACAGAGGAATGAATATTACTCTTACAGCTCATTGTCAATATTTCTAGTTATAATTCAAATGTCAAAATTAAAATTTAAACATTGATCATTATCTGTGTGGAAGACAGATTAGAGAGAAGAATGGCAGTAGTGCATGTGACAATAGTACACCTAAAAATTATATAAGGATAAAAGACAGGCAGCTCATAGATATGTAAACACTGACATTATTTTCTTTCTCTCAAGAGGAGGAATGCTTTGACTTTATATCTGATTCAAGGCGATATATTGAATGAAAACATTTTCAGTAGTCACACAAAGAACACATTTATGCACCAAAATATTTGTGTCTGATTTCAGTGTTATCAACAAACAACTATCTTACAAAAAAAACATGTATGCATATCAAAATCTTTGGCTGAGGAACAATTGTGACATATAAGTGGGGAGAAATAAGCCATTTTCTTTCGTTTGTGCATTAATCCACATGAAAATGAACTAATTTTCCCATTATTCTCACTAAATAAAAGACACACAAAACAGATATTGTTTTGCAGGGAGTGTACTTATTCATTAAACAGAAGTGTCATTTCTTTAGATTCCAAAAGTCAAAGACCAATTCAGCAAAGAGAAAAGTTTGGATACAGCGATGTCAACATGGAACCCATAGATTTATCTCTGAATACTAAAACTGTAAAACATGCTACTAACTTAAACAGGAGTGAGTGAATGAGTGAGCGGCAACATCACAGCAGGGGACACCAGAAAAAAACGGGATTTTGTCCTTCAAGATGCTTTTTAGAATATGCTACATAAATGATTTCAGCTCATTATTTACGTTACTGTACATCTCCTAAAAAGGTTTGGAGTACGAGCAGTTTGTGGAGATGTCCCACCCTGCAGCTGTGTACAGCACACGGCCAGATTATAAAGACTACACACAATATGGAAATAGCTACACAAACAAGACTAATGGTGAAAAGCACACTGGATACATGGATACAGACAGTCAGTGCAGCTACACTTCTCAGTCAGCTTCCAGTGTTGGTGAGTCAACATTTTCTCTTTACCATTCATAGGTTTATTATGTAAAGCTTTACATTCTTTTTTTGTTTTGTAATATGTCTAATAATCTATACACTGTATAAAGAAACATCATTATAGGATATGCAGTAGTATTGGTATAACTATTCTGATAGGTCAAGCATGCTTAGAAGTTGTAAAATATCATATTCTTTGTTTATTTGTAGTTTTATACAGTTATACATTGAAACATTATGACATATGTGATAAAAGAATGATGAATATACTGTAATTTGGTGTCCAAATATGTTGCAAATGTAACAGTCACCTAATAGCAGCAAAGGCCAAGCAGATTTCAAATGTGCCCCCTCTCAAAAAAACATATCAACTCATAAACATCTTGTTCATGCTTGTGTGAAACCTGAACACATTTATCAGAGTCAGTGCTAAACAGTAAACATATGCACCATTACTTAAAGCAGAAAGAAACAATGCTATAGGTAGCTTGGGAACATGTGAATCCTGGTCAGATGTGTCCAAGGCATTTCCCCAAGCACCATATTACTTTGGAATTGTTACCATTGGGACAGCATGTGACTTTCCCAAATATCCAGTAGACCATGGCTGACTACAGTAGCTGGGAAATGCTATGTCCAGGGATCAGATCTAGGCTGTCATATCAGCCCAGATGGTGATGAACAGCTTACATAAGGCTTGTCTTTGAGCCAGATGGCCTGTTCAAGGTCTTTCAGCCTGCTCAAGGTGACGTTTTAACACAACTGACATCACAGACTAAAATATGGCAGGTGTCATGTCCAGAGAGTATGGCCACATGCACCTGTGATACAGATTTGTGCCTCAGCAACAAATCTTGTGTTTTGCTTCATCATAAGAGATTGAATATGCTATGGAGTTCACTTGGAAGGCTTGTGGCAAACTAAATTCATGAAGTTGACAGATTTGTTGGATGTAGGTCTTGCACAATGGCAGGCCCAACCTGGTTAACTTCATTGCACACTGGTACCAAGATGACACTTTGCAGCCAAAATATGCAGAACACCAACATGGTATTCCAGCACAATAAAGACAACTCAAGATGGCATATCTCGGATATCTCCACAACTACAATATTTGGGTCAGGATCTGGCCCCTTGATCACCTGATTTCAATCCCACTGAACATTTATGGCATTAAGTTGGACAGACTCTGTCAGGTACTGGCACTACAGGCCAAGGTGGCCACTATTCCCCACGTTCTGATTCATAACTTTGTAGCTGTAATGATCAGAAGTCATGATTCCATGTGTGAGCATGTGTGATACAGAGTGCAGATGGCCTTGTCCTTTGTCAATCAGTTGCTTTCAACTGACCCAGAAACCCATGATACATTTGAGGAATGGAGACTGTTATATATGAAATTCTAATTCAACTTATTATGTAACACGAGTTCTGATTGGTCAATGATATAAATTTACAACCTTATAATCAGCATATACGGTCGCAATTTGAAAATCGATTCACCAAAACCTTTGAATGTATCCCTACACTATTGGGGTAACGCTGCTTTTCAGGGCATTGTCATTTGCAGAAGCCCTAGGTTAATTAACTCCCCTATCCCGCCAAAATGATTGGAAATTGTGTTAAGAAAGACAAAACAGTATCATAAATTTAATTGTAAGTTCAAACAACTTACTCGCAACGGGCTGTTCACCCAACACTGTTAGATCATGAAACAAAAATTATGAGGTCATTTTGGAGTGTGACGTTACCTGCTGTGACGTCATTTGACAACAAAGCTGATAATGGCCCGTAGTTGAGGAAGGTTGCAGGGAGGTTGCATGATAAATCTGTCCAATTTAGCTATAACGCTATGATTTATTCATCATTGTCTGATTTAGTCAGTGTGCACATAGTAAACGTGTTGAAGTTTGAAAAGGGAATTACTTTTCCTGGCGATGGTGTAAGTTCAAGGAGTGATATGATTAACCTTTGACCTGGTTTAAATAATGAATTTCTTTACCAAAAACCAGTGTAAAACAAGTTGCATTAGAAAGGAACAATTACATGTATTGTTAGTAATTGTTAGTAAACCTACCTCTGGATTATGGTAGCCTTATTCCTGTGGATACACAGAATACATACAGAAAATCAAAAGAAATTTTAACACTAAGTCATAACTATTCCTAGTGGTATACCTAATCTACCCCTGAGTTATCTCCCTTGATCCTGGCGTCACTTTATTCTTCTCCTAGAACCCTTCATAATTTTTCTAAAAACAACACATCTATGACATCTTCTAAGGATAAATTCGTGGGGAGGACACAGGGTGGGAACTACTCCCCATAATCCAGAGGTAAGTTTACTAACAATTACTAACAATACATGTAATTGTTCCTAATTATAACGTAAACATTCCCTCTGGATTATGGTAGCCTGAATCCCAAGTAAGGAAGGAGGGTTACCCTTGGAAGATACTACCCTCTATACCACTAACTGAGAGTTGATTACTCAACCTCCTAAGAATAACTATGACTTAGTCAGAGATAAATAATTTATCTCCAGATTGGTCAGTAGCAGTGGGGGAATACATTCCCAGAGATGGAGAGTCTTCTAACTTCCTATAGTTATGGTTGATATGATAGATATCATGATAATCCTAATCCATAATAGTAGGAATTCTATAATTCCTGACACCATCAATCCGGTTTACGCTAGATTCCTATGAATATATCATGATTCTATTCGAGTCCCGAATTGTGTCATTTAACCTAATATTCCTTAACTTATGACGTCATTTCCGGTAATTATGATGTCACTTCCTGTTTGATGACATTACTTCCGCTCTAATGACCTCACTTCCGGACACTAGAGACAATCTCTATGATGTAATACTAACTAACCTAGATGACGTCACTTCCGGTCCTATGACGTCACTTCCAGTCCTATGACGTCACTTCCGGTTCTATGACGTCACTTCCGGTTCTATGATGTCACTTCCGGTTAACTATCATTAGACTATAAATGTTTTCAACTCAAACCTTAAGGTAACCACCTTGAGCTTGTAAATCATATTCTAACGTGAAGCCATCAACCATAGCTCAGAAGTTAGAAACTCTGTCCATATTGTGCTCGGTTAGGTGATACATCTAAATGTAAATTCTTTTACCATGTCAACTTGTCTTGCTACATGCTGTCCCTTGACCAGTATCCATCCATCATCCTTCTGAGTGGTCCCTCAGACAGTCCCAGGCACCATCTCTCACTGCGTCATCCTTCCTGAAGATGTAGATGCCAGGTCAACACACACACACACACACCAAAAAGGGGCAGTCAGGCGGAGGCGAGGTGCTGAGCCGCTACTAAAGGTCCTAATGAATGTAAACCTTCAATAGAGGGAGCAACATCCCTGAGGTAAAAATGAGTAAAGGTATTAGGAGATTTCCATTGACAACTAGACACAACCGCTAAGGATGGAGCTAGGGCTCTAATTTCATGGGGGGAGAATTTAAGATCAATTAAGTCTTGATTCTGATCCCCATAAGCAAAAGATATAGTCTTTCTGAGCCATGAAGATATGGTATTCTTGGATATCTCAGAGTCTACATTTGTCTTTCATTAAATAAACAGTCTGCGACGATTACGTCTAAACGTCAAAGTACGCTGAATGTACCAGTGCAAGGCACGTATGGGACAAAAAAAATCTAGTCCTATTCGATCTAGAGGTAGAGGTAGGAAGCTGAGGTATACGATATATCCTATGTCCCAACGGACCACAAGCGGAAGTTTGATTCTTGGCAATGAATTCCGGCACAGTTCTAAAAGTTATCTGTTTATATCCTTCCGAAAAAGTGATGGATTTAAAGTCTATAGCATGTAATTCGAAAACTCTGGAAGCTGTTGCAAATGCCAAGAGAAATGCCGTCTTAAATGCCAGATACTTTAGAGAAGCGTCCTGCATAGGCTCATAAGGAGATTTTTTAAGAGATTGAAGTACTAACGTTAAATCCCACTTAGGAAATATCGTTGGAGACGATATATCCTTAATCTGAAAGGATCTGATCATTTTGTGAATCGATGTATCCGAGCCCACAGATAAACCTTGAATGTCCATGACTGAAGCAATAGCTGATCGATATCCCTCAATTGTATTATGCTTCAAATGTTTCTGTCCCTTAGGAACAAGATAAAATCAGCTATCATTGGAATGGTGACAGGCACATCCAGGATTCCACACTCTCGTCTCCACTGGATGAATCGTCGCCACTTAGCGTCCTACAAGGCAGCTGTGGAAGGTCTTACGGATTCTGAAATAGCTCTGGTAGCTTCAACCATAAATCCCTGTTTCCTGAGTGAACTTGAGATAGCTTCCATACGTGTAGCGCAAGTTGCCTGACATTCTTGTGAAATCTGTTGGACTTGGGTTGACTGATTAGATTGTGCCACAACGGAAGACGTAGAGGTTTGTCCACCAATAGCTGTAGTAGAGTGGGAAACCAAGGTCTGGCAGGCCACGCTGGTGCCACTAGATAAACTAGACAGTCGTGTTGTTGAATTTTTAACAGAACCTCTGGGATTAGTTTGAACGGAGGAAACGCATAGGCTATCATCCCCTCCCACGATATGGATAGGGCGTCGACTGCCCATGCCAATGGATCCGGTACTGGGCTCACAAACGTTGGTATCCCAAAATTCCTGGAAGTCACAAACAGATCTATGTTTGGAATTTCCCACGTCTGTCCTATCAAATAGAATGCCTCTTCCTTGAGAGTCAGTTCGGTTGAGATCACTCTGTCCTGTTGAGATAATGAGTTCGCTAAGATATTCTTCCGACCTGGAATGTGGCGCGCTCTGATTAAACAATTTATAGCGTCCACTGCTTGATACAGATCCTGAGTGATCCCGAGGAGCTGTTGAGATTTGGTACCTCCCTGTTTGTTGATGTAAGCCACTACCGTAGAATTGTCCGACACTAACATGAGACTCTTCCCGTACAAGCGATTCCCCCAGCAACGGATCGCTTTTAACAGTGCTAATATCTCCAGACAGTTTATATGCAGATTCACCTCTGACAGATTCCACACACCTTGAATTTACCAGATGTCCATGTGTGCATCACAACCCGTGTTCGAGGCATCCACATAAAGCGTCAGATCCGGTAAACGAGGACGTAATGAAACTCCTGGCAACACATTCAACGTCCACCGTCCACCATAATATCTCCCTTCGGACTCTGTCTGGAAAAGCTTTGAGAAATTCCAAGTCCTCCATCCGAAACTGGTTGAGCCAGATCTGTGGGATTCTCAACATTAGTCTTCCTCTTACAGTATAATCCTGGATTGAAGTGAGAGATCCTAGAAGGGACATCCATGAACGAACTGATGCAGTTGGCCTCTGTACCATGTTGGTTATCTAGGTTGATATTTCCAACCAACGATCCTGAGGAGTATAAATACAGCCTGCTTTTGAGTCCAAGATTGCTCCCAGAAACTTGATTCTCGTGGAAGGGACCAGTTCTGACTTGGTAGGATGAACTATTAGACCCAGATGTGTAAACACGTGGATTATAAAGTTGGTTTGCTTCATGAGAACCGCTGTCACCACATTCCTTGCCAAGAAATCGTCAAGATAACCGTGTATCACAATCCTTCGTTGATGAAGAAAAGCCAGAATCGGGGAGATTATTTTTGTGAACAACCACTGTGCTAGAGATATTCCGAACGGCAGCACCCTGAACTGAAACCTGCGGCCGCAAATCTGAGGTATTTGCGAGATCTTGGATGAATAGGGATATGAAGATATGCATCCTTTAGATCTATGCTTATAAACTGGGAATCCTGACGAATCAAGGTGCGTAGGTTTGCAATTGATTCCATCCTGAACTTTGGCGGTTTCCTCAAAAATAGCTTGTTCAACACTTTCAAGTCTATTCTCATGCGCATTTCGTCCGAATCTTTCTTGGGGACTAGGAATACGGGTGAATAAAACCCGCATATCTGATCCCCTGGAGGAAATTCTATGATTGCCCGTTTCTCCAGTAGCTGATTTACTGCTAAGTTTGCTCCCGCTAAACGCTGGCCTTGAAGACAAAACCGACGACCCTCTGGAAAACAAGTCACTGGAGGCTGCTTGTGCCAAGGAAGAATAAACCCCTGCTCACGACAGACAGGACCCACTCGTCTGATGTTATTATTTTCCAATTGTCTAAGTATTGGGCCAATCTGCCCCCTACTGGAGATTGTGTCACTGGACATACAAAGTCCAAATCCAATATCATTTCGAGGAACGTTTCCGATTCGTAAGGAAGAGAACGCTGAACAGTGAGACATGAGTCAATATTTCTTGATCCACACGAAAAGATCTACCTCCCCTACCTCTACCCCTAGATGAGGATGAGCCTCTAGTAAAAGCCACATTTGTTGAACGAGCTCTTGAATCCGAAGCACGATCAAAGGCAGATCTCTGAAAATTCTGACTATGACTTGTTGAAGATGGAGCAGAACGAGACGTAACACTGGAACCCCTTCTAGATCTAGTGTCAGCCCTTGCTCTATTTTGGAATAAAAGTGCCGACGCCAAACGTTGATTCAAGTTCCTCGACATCAAGGCATCTCTAGCCTCAATAGCCTGTTGACATTGTCCATTAAAGGTGTTATCCGATTCCAAGGGCTGGTGCAATAGAAAATCCCTTGAAACATCTGGTAAATTCCTCACTGAATCTAGCTGCTGTATCCGCTCAATAGCTGTAAGTCGGACCAATATATTCACTTGAGTCGCCATCGCATCGGCTAAGGACTGATACACTACATCCAGAAACGAATGCGCTAACGCCACCTCTTGAGCAGTCATGGAAATCAAAGTGTCTTTCTTAACTCCCGTATAATCTTGAAACACCAGTGGGAGCAAGGCACGAACTCACGCAGAAAACCAGTTTGAATAAGATAGGGTATCAATCGCCGAATGGGCTGCCGTATCCAATTCCTTACAATCCTTGAAAGTACAGAATGGTGCATAGTCACGAGAGCCTCTAGCATCCTGTAACTGTTTAAAGTCCTTGTCTAAACTTGGTTGATTGGCTGGGATAACACGATCATGAATGGAATAAATGGGTTTATGAGAAACCCTAGGCAAAGAACTCAAGTTCGTAGCCTTGGAGAGGCCTAAGTTGTAATTCTCCAACACTTTCTAAGTGATGATGAATGTGGTAATAACAGCCTGGGCATCCGTTCCGGGGGAAGGCAACCTGATAATCCGAGTTCCACGGGAATATCTATCTCCTGCTCGTCCGAAGGCGGTGGTAGAGTATTAGGATAAAGTCCGTGCAAAAGTTCCAGCTTTTCTTTAAATGACCAGCCCGGCTTAAAATCCTGTGCTGACATGTCCATAGGTTGTACCGTCAACAAGCCTTCTTTCATGGAAAACTCTGGTTGTGAAAAAGGATAAACCGATGAATCCTCCTGGTCCGTCACATCAGACACTAACGGGATTAAGGGCAGATTGTCTGTGTCAAAATAACCTTGCGGGTCCGTAGCTGTGTCCTCTGAACCGCTAGGCCCATGCAAATCAGACTGCTGGGTTGATTCACCGTTATCCATAGCAGCCGACCCAGTGGCCTAGCTAAAGCCGGGCGGGAATCACGTGCTGTCTGGACCGAGTCAGACCCGTGAAACACTTGCAGCCCGGTCTCCCCTTGGGAGAAAGTAGCAGGCTGTATGTGACGGAGCAGCCACGGATGACTGGCTCCCGGGGACAAAGGACGTGGAGTGTTTAGCCACGGTCACCCCGGATCTGGAGCCGGCTGGGCCAACTCCATCCCCGTCGCTTGAAGCCCTAGACTTCTCCCCCTGAGGGAACCGGCCTCCTACGTACTCCAGGGCATGGTAACCGGCTTTCCCGGTCATTGCACCCCTGGTTTCAGTAGGAAGTTGCTTTGGCCCCTGGCTCTTGCCATCGACCACCAAGCCACTGCGGCTATCTGCCGTCTTGCCGGATAAAACAGGATCCTCCAAATGTTTTGACAGGCGATTAAATTTTTCGTCATTCCTCATCTCCCTATCCCGTACAGAATTATCCATGGTCGCCTGGATATCGGATTTAATTCCCGCCAAAAGTTCTGAGAACGCAGATATATCCAACTGGGGAGAGGATTTTGATTTAGATCTAGAACGAGACTTCGGTTCAGATTTAATATATAAAGGCGGAGATCCCTGAACTTTCTTCGACTTCCTAACTAAGTTACGCTTCCTAACTAAGGAACGAGATTTGTCCATCAACAACCAATCTTCTTCAGATATTTCCTGACACAATTAGCATCGATCCGAGACTGAGCAAGGTAAGCCTTTATAACGGGAAGCACACAGAGAGTGGGGATCAACATCCGCCATGAATTTCTGACATTGCAACCATTTGCTCTGCGCCATCAATCAAAAAGGGCGAGAAAACCTAAATATTTTGGAAATATATCTAATATAAATGCAAAACAGTAATGCGATTGAATATTAAATGGAATGCGATTTGTAACTGACCTATATATGAAGAATTGAAGTCTTGATTTGAAATGAAAGTTCACTCGATTCTCTGCACGTCATGCGTGTGGACCATACAGAAAAATTATATGAAGGGTTCTAGGAGAACAATACAGTGACGTCAGGATCAAGGGAGATAACTCAGGGGTAGATTAGGTATACCACTAGGAATAGCTATGACTTAGTGTTAAAATTTCTTTTGATTTTCTGTATGTATTCTGGGTATCAACAGGAATAAGGCTACCATAATCCAGAGGGAATGTTTAGGTTATAATTTGGGGATAACTGTACTGTGTTTGACGAATTGGGGACGTATACCGGTGGTTATATAGCCGCAAATTTAACATTATATCGGCTATATAACCACCGGTATACGTCCCCAATTTGTCAAACCAAGTACAGTTATCCCCTAATGATAACATTGTGCTCAATTTTAATCTGATTTTGTATGAATATCATATGACTTAGAATAAAGTGTTTTGCTTGTATCAATTCCACTGTAGCACACATTGTTGTTTGTTATTTCATGTCTTTTACAATATATATCAGGGTTCAGTGTCAGCTGATATATTATGTATCCTTTTTACTATTTAGCCCCTCACCGTTTAATCTGAAATGTTACTTTTGACTGGGTTAGAAATGTAAAAGTTGCAGGTTGTAACCCAGATCAATGTAGCAGTGTTGATTCTGATCTCGTTTCTTCATGGATCGCAGACCAGCTTCAGAAGGCAAAAGCTGAAGTGGCAAGAGAAATAGCCTCAGGTAGTTAAAACTGATGCAAAATTGTGTTGAGAATTGACAAACTACAGTTTTGACAGGTAATCTGAACCCATTTTTCTAATTAGCTGAAAAAATCCCAAAGATCTTCTAACATCAGAGTTTAGCATATATCAGTAATCAACATACTCATTGTTGTACCGCTGTATACTGTACACATTTCATGTCGAGTATTATATTTTCTTCTGCATCATAGATGGCTATACTTACAGAGAATACAGTTGTGTAGAAGGGATGCATAATATATACACAGAAACTCAGACAGCTTTCTTCAAAGAAAAAATGTTCCAAAAGCAAAAACATCAGTAAACACAAACTTTCTCATAATGGAAAATACAAGATTAATTATAAGTCATCCTTTACTAAAAACATCTTATCACAAATTTTACACTTATCTTGGCACTTTTGACTTCACCCAAGAATTCTCTGGAAGTAGAACAATGAATCCTTTGACAGTAGATTATGCACAAAATATCCTTTTGTTCCCCTATAATGTCCTATGCATCACTTTGAAGAATGCATGTTATCGAATAATATCAGTTTAGTTATTTTATTAGACTTAATATTTCTGATTGCTTTAGAATATGAAAGACAACGTGAAGTAGGACTGCTTGATGAGATTATGGATGAAATGGCAAAATGTGAGCCTATCAAACCAGACAAGAAACTAGTGTATGGTTATAGAGATTTATATGAGGTGAGTTGTTTCGCTTCTAAAATGGTAAATTACAAATGACCATAGTCATAAAAGTATTGTAAGAAATCTTTTACTCTTCTCTTGTAAATGTTCATTTGTGTGCCACTTTCGTTACAGAGCTCTAATAAGCCTGTTGAGTTTTTTTAAATACTCATGTAAGTAGCTTGATGTAGGAAGGAAAAAATCACTAAACCAAATCATGGTTATTTTATGTACTGTTTGACTGACTGACTGACTGAGTTTAGTTTTACGCCGCTTTTAGCAATATTCCAGCAATATCACGGCGGGGGACACCAGAAATGGGCTTAACACATTGTGCCCATGTGGGGAATCGAACCCGGGTCTTCGGCGTGACGACCGGACGCTTTAACCACTAGGCTACCCCACCGCCCCATGTACTGTTTGAACACATTGCTGTTGTATAATGTTGGAAACCTTTTGATCATATTAAAAATGTTGAACCCACAACCAGTAGATTCTACAGATGCACTGTACAAAGAGAGTGTGCAGTGCCTTAGATCACAAAAATGTGTGGGTAACCTAATGTTGAAGATAGATTGCATATCTGTGAGAAGTTAAAATAAAAGTAATATCTTATTTCCCTTTTCTTGGTAAGCATGTTCTGTCTTAATCAATAGCAACAGAAGAGGAAACAAGAATTTGACTTAAAGGAGTATTACATTGATGATGACATCAACAACGACCCTGATGAAAGAAGTCACATCAGACTCCAGGGGGTTTCTGATGGTAGAGACACAGACAACAAGGACTGGAAGTACCAAGCTAAATCAAAATCTGACAGTAACTCTGGTAGAGGTCAGTGTTTCAGCTAATGTGTTTGAGTTAGTTTGGTTAAGGAACTTTAATAGTGTTTCAGTAATATCAGTGTGTTAGCCTGATGTTGATGGAAAACCAGTGAGCCGTTGTTCAAAACAACCTTAGCACTAAGATTGTTGTAAGTCTATGTTACGGTATGGGAATACCTTAGTGTAGCACAATGACACCCTGAAATGATACAGGTCTGCACAGTTATTCCTTATGATGATGTCAGGGTTCTATGTGTTGATGATCAGCAATATCAACAAGTTGTTACTCTTGTGGACGTCAGTTTTCATGGGGAATAGAGCACTAGTGATGGTTTTTATGCTTTGACTAGTAGAACACAGAAGAGTAAAAGTCAAGTGACATAAAATCATGTAAAAGTATTAAGTGCAATGCTATTTTTATCTTGAGGAACAGTTTATTCACTGTTGCCTATATTTGACTATTATATGAACATTTATAAGCATTAATGAAATGCTGGTTATAATGTTAATTTTCATATTTTAGACATGTATGCTAAAAAGAAATCTGAGAGAAAACACAAACGTGAGAGTGGCATTCCCAAGCCAAAAGTTGGAACAAGGCTGATGTCAACAAAACAAACAGTAATTTCATTCATTTCTTCCTTACTCAATGCCTGTTTATATCGCCCCCATGTGTCCCCAGAAACCCATAACTGGTCATTGCAAGCTACAGAATGGGGTCCAGTGAGAATTCCATATTAGAATTGGTCACTAGAAGCATGTGCTGGCTGTGAAAGGTCTGTTAATGGATCACATGGCCAGGTTTAGTGACTTGGTTGATGGTCGATATGCCTTCGACAGCATGGTTTGGTGCTCTTAATTTCAATTACTGGACTCCGGTCAAGAATTACAAGCCGCCATCATATAGCTGGGAGAACACTAAGTGTGCTGATAGTTTACAAACGCACATACACACCTCATGGCAAGTGATTTTAGTAACATTTACTGAAGGGGGGTATATGAAAAATTAAATGCTAATATAGCTAAAAATTTGTATTTTGTACTCAAATACTTCCAAGCTTCTGTAACATCATGTTCTATGTATTGTTTGTGAAACTGAAATTTCAATTATGTTGTTGCTCATCATATTGTCTCATATTCCTGCAGGATAAACCAGCTTCTAAAGGCTTTACCACCACAGTCACTGTGGAATCCAGTCTCATCAATCCTGGAGAGCATAAACTTTGTCACACAGCTACAGACCTTGCTACTGGGGAGACAACAACACTTCATGAAGAAAGAGTGAAGGCTGCAACTGTACACTCCAAGCTCCAGGCTTAACCTCCATGTCAGTTTTATTGTCCATGAATTGCAAATCATCATCTTAAAACAGCATGATTTTCTTTCTTGGGAAATATTTTAAGACAATGTTAGTTTGTTATTGTTATCTCTCATATACTGTATATTCTTTGAAACAATTTGAAGGCATTTCATCATATAAACTTGACAGGTTCTTCTCTCCCTGATACTTGTTATATTGAAATACTGTCAAAAGATTCTGGAGAATACAAAGCATAGTTTATTATCAAATGGAAGTACATATTTACAAATAATTATTAATGATATTTTTTCTCTCCAATGTTTTATGAAATGCTGAATAATAAAATGAAATCTTTTACATTAATTACAAATGAATTTAATAATATTTAATTGTATTATCATGGTATTACTGAATTTCATTGTTATCTGACTGTTTGCCTTCATTTGACTACCAAATTAAATATTTATTAAGTTCATTTGTTATTTATTTATTTATCCTAAATTGTCCCTCTTAGGACCACAGTGAATAACAGACTTAAATCAGGTGAAATCTCAGTTCAAAGAAGTAATGAAAGAATATATTTTCATCATCATACCGGTATATATAATACAAAAAATTCATACCACTTAAGGACACATCTTATGCAATAATTTAATACATAAGCACAACATAAAGCAATGTTTCCCACCAAATTAACATGTCAATATCCAGTACAATATATCAACATAGAAGACAAACCAATTGCATCCTCATTCATGCAAACTACACATTCTTCCTGTTTATGATTAATTGCCTGAATGAAATACCATTCAGTGTGTCATTTTAGAACATGAACTGATTTTCAGTTATATTTCATAACAGCAATCAGCTGGTGAAAATGTGGAGACAAGGCCAGAGGAAATCAAAGCAGACTGGGGGAAAACCCCAGAAGTAACTATGTGCAGTAAGATGCACCATCAATAAGAAATTGTCTGTGAATGTTCAGTTGGAAACAGAAATGTTAACAGCTGCTGTATCAGGATATGATGAACCATGTAATGTCTCTGTTGTCTAGATGTTAAACCCCTGGGCCTAGATTTTCGACGCTCTCTTAGCTCTAAGATAGTTGTAAGTGCCATACATTAACAGTAACTTATGACTATCTTAGTGCTAAGAGAGCTTTGAAAATCTAAGCCCAGCACTTCAAGGCATATAACTACATTTATGGCATCCATCTGATGGCTTGCATACTGGTCACATTTTAGATGGCCATATCTTCCTACAGAGTGTTTAGTTCTTTCTATGTAGATTTTTCCATATGATTATTAAAAATTAACTGAAACACAAAAATTATATCAGACATGTATCCACTGATTACCCAAGACAATATGTTTTTAAACTACTGACTGAAACTACAATTCATATAACTTGTCAAGATCCCTAATGTTAGGCAACGGTCTTGCCCACCAGGAAACTGTTCAGTGATCAAAGGACGCCCAAAGATTACTTTATCTAGAAAGTACTCTAAGTCATAGTCAACAATATTAGAGAAATATGGTTTCTTTCCCATCATATTGCAAAAGACCTGGGTGCCGTTCCACTAACCGATCTTAGCCCTATGCCAATCGTAAACCCCTAAAATCCCAATCTTAGCGTGACGTTACGATCGGCATACCGTTCCACTAACCAATCTTACCTAAGTCAATCGTAAAGTTAAGATTCAAAGTCTAAGTTGCTCATGACCAACTTAGGATAGCTCAAATCAATCGTAGAGAAACCAAAATGGTGGCTTTCCAATTCTATGTGAAAAATAAGAGCGAGCATTTCACTGTGAGCGTCCCCTAAAATCCCCCATGAAATGAATTTGTATATTTCTGTGATGTAAACAAACACTGCACTGAAGCCTTACAAATGTCAGGCCAGTCTGACCACTGTCGTCATGGGAACACAACCGAGCGAGTCGGTGTGACACATTTGTACAACAATATTGCAACGTCATGGTTAAGAATAAAGACAGCCGTACAAAATATACAAATATGTTTGATTTCACTGCGCATATTTGGTGGGGGATTCTAAAGGCAAGCCGCGTGTGATTCAAGATTAAATTACATTTGTGACGTCATTCCATTGTCTGCTCGCTCCATTACTTTTCAGGAATGGAGTGATGTGTACCAGCTTCAAATTAAAGACTTCATTTTGTCATTTTGACATATAACTTTGATAACAGAAATATTCCCAATACTTTGAATGTAATTTAAGTAGGGTAATATCCTCGTAACTCTCCATTCCTTAAAAACAATGTGCCTCTCGCACGAAAGAGTCTCGATCTAAGCTTGGATCGGATCGTAAGATCGGGACCGGCTACGATCGGCCTAAGATCGGTTAGTGGAACGGATGTAACTTTTAGCTAAGACGATTGTAAAATTGGCGTAACTTGCTAAGATTGATCTTAGATAAGATCGGTTAGTGGAACGGCACCCTGGAAGTATGCAACATACTTTATTAGAATTTAGTGCAGATTTCAATGACAAATTTCACTGTTTCTTTTCTAGTAATGATTTTCTTGTCATTCATTATAGATGTCTCTGAATGACTTCACACAAATAGTCATTCATTGGTTTTCGATCGATCGTATAACTTCACAGTTGATACATTCTGTAATCCTTAACTGGTTATGTGATCTTTCAGTTCAGTCATCCAGCTCTTGTTGCCACATTTCCAATTTCTGTCTGGAGATATTCACTGATCAAAGGTGGAGTGAAATGGAGTTTAACATCATGTTAAAGATAAACGCACTTAAACAGTAAGGTGAATGCAAGTGTGTGTGTGATGTAAAAGACATAAAATAGATCTATGAAACATTATATTAAGCAACAGCTTTCTATTTACCACCAAACAGTGAGGTTTCTTAAACAAATCACTGTAAACATAAAGTTCATTCATTAGTTTTATTTCACATTGGTTCCATCGTCATTGATATACAAGCATCAGATACATTGACTAGAACAGTATGAAATTTAAGAAATAACAAGGTCTTAAATAATTCTGAAAATATGTATTTTACCAATATACATATGTACAATAACATGGCAATCATCCATATTTACAATATTTATATGATGAAACAACTATAACAACAAGTAGAAATTGTTTGCTAAAGAATATAGACACAAACTGGCAAGATGCCAGTTAAATTAACTGTTCTGCAACATGAACAGCATGATTTGTTATATGCCCAATTATCACCGAGCTAAAGGGATAGCAAAACTTTATCAAGCAACCACTGCAATTACACAATAGCCCTGAAATAGTGTTAAACAGTTGATTTACCTACCTGTCTAAAGGGAGTTTTAAAATAGTTTGCACTGCCCTCTGTGCAACCTCTAGAGCAATTGTGACATGTTTTATCGGCATTCTAGAAAGTGGTGAGTCAATAATGAAGCATACGACTTTATGGATAACAAAGCACTGTTAGTTTGATAACAGAGTAAGATTCTACATCAAAACGTCGCTCTATGCAATAAACAAGAAGTTATTATCCTTAAAGTTGTATGCTTCACTATTTGTGACATGACACAATGAATTCTTCCATCCAAGCTAATCTGGTCTCCTTATTCATCACATGTTCTTCAAGAACAGGTATGACAATAGTAAGATGAAATGGAGGCATTAATCTGATGCTTCATAATTAGTGTATGTTAAATACACTGAATTCCATTTTGGGTCTTAATTTCTCCTTTCTTTTTTTGATTTTTTTGCCAGCAAGGTATTGCATCAATATTAATATACCAGGTACTATTCATGGAATCTGTTTCTTGGTACACTATAAGAAAGACTTATATACTATAGTCCGTTTGGCTCAAAATCGGACCGATGAATTGCAATCTAACTCAAAAACTAATAAACATGTAATACTCAATGAAACGCTGATCATAATTAAAACGTCAGACCAACTCTGTGAGGTTTTTGCAGAATTTATATCCTAAAAATAAAAAAAATGTTTAACAAACTATCATTAAAATTTTGACACAGTTCACTATTTGTTACGAGGGAGGAGTGCAGAGAAAGGGACAGCCAGGTGTGCGAGAAAGGCTGAAGATGGCACAGCACAGGTTAATGAATCAATAACTTGGTGGGCACTTGTGTACGTGCTTCTCTAACACCTGGCTGTCCCTTTCTCTGCACTCCTCCCTCGTAACAAATAGTGAACTGTGTCAAAATTTTAATGATAGTTTGTTAAACAACTTTTTTAATTTTGGGACATAGATTCTGCAAACAAACCTCAGAGTTGGTCTGATGTTTTGATTATGATCAGCGTTTCATTGAGTATCATATGTTTATTAGTTTTCGAGTTACATTGCAATTCATCGGTCCGCTTTTGAGCCAAACGGGCTATACACATGTCAGGGGATAAGTAGTACTAACCCTGGTCAGTTTGTGTAATGATAAAAGTAACCTTATGGCGAGTAGAAATTTCAGGCTTTAGGTAGTAGTACCTTATGTATGGACCTGCTAGTTTCTGGTCAATTTCAATGGATCTATTAAAAACATAACTGACATAATTTCCCCATTCTACGGCAGTAGCACATACAACCATCTTCTGCCTTTATATGGTGTAATTATCATCATCAATTATATTTCCACAGAACATGACAAAACCTTCAGCAAGAGACTCAGAAATAACTGAAATATTGCTTTGTGAGGACATTTTTAACAGATGTTTATATGTCGTGAATGAAATGCTTGAAGCTGACACATTCATTATGACATTCATTTTCTGTGTAATATTCAGTCACAATAGCTATCTTGCACAGATTAACTAATACATTACCAAGGTACTAAATAATACTCTGAAACTATCTAAGCTGGAAAATACAAAAATATAGGGTAGATACTTTCATATTTTTTTGCAGATGTTTTTATTCTCATACAAAAAGAATCCAAATCATTTTTTTTCAGCCTGAATCACACTATGAAAACACCTTAATCTCCTCAATACCTTTTGAGTCTTTTACTTTTGATTTGAAGTTACCGGGTCAGTTCTTTCGAAGGTCATAGACCTCCTGCATAAATGAAATGAGATATGTAGCCAACTATTTCTCATGACATGAAACACATTCATGTTATGACTTGAAACACATTACACAGATAACTCATGAGGAAGACTGTCAAAAGATGACAAAAGTTATTAATCTAAAAGTTTGCCATTGAGGATCAATGATAATGGCAAAATACTGGAATTCTATGCTGGGCAAAAGCAATCAGTCTGACAGCCATTCTGACAACTGAAATAATGTACACTCAGTTACACAGAAATCATGAAAACTTTGTCTTTGGTATACTTGTTTGTGTCTTTCAAGGAAGACTTTATCAGTAAATTTTTCATATCAATGTGAAATGCCAAGAAAAAACAAACAGCAAGAGCTATTTAACATATGTCCAAAAATAATGCACCTGTTCGCTCTGTTGGAATTAAATCTTTTATGATTCAAGAGTTTCAAAATAATGAGTGTACATAAACAAGCCATTAGATTGACCAAAGGTTTTGTACAATATCATGGCATACAGTATCACTGTATGCACTACTTTGCAATAACACTTGCACAAATGTCTGAATAACAGGCCACAATTGACACAACTAGCATGGCCATGTTTCCAGGCAGATAAGATTTCTGCGAGAAGGGTATTGATACAAGGGCAGTGGCCCATTCTAAATTCAGAAAATGGCTAATAATCCTGAAAATGGCCCATTGTCAAAGTTCTCTATCCCAGTCCCTGGGTGTATGTGATGTTATGTGTCTCCAGGCCTCTGGTTTGTGCTATAATACCTATTACAGGATGCATATAATCACAATTTTGCTTAGCTTGTATTGGCAAAGCACTGGAGAAAAGGATTGGAGAAAAGTGATAGTAATGTTCTTGACATATTTTGAGTAGTTTTAGTTAAGCAAGTGTTTGGGGAGGGTAGTAATATTCAAGTACACTAGGAAAAATGTGAAGCAGCATTTTAAGTATTACTTATTTAAATATTGCACTGTTGAAATACAGATGATTACATTCAGGACACCTCGTCTGAAAGCTAATACTACATACTTAGCAAAATGACAAGTTCATGGACCAAACACATTAACACAATTGCAAAGGCTGTGACATCAGATGGGAGTCTGACCTTTGTAATGATAATTTATTTTTAGACAGTGATTGTTTAAATATCTATAATAATCACCACTGGGTGCCTTTCACAGTCAGGGTTACAATTATGTTGCATCCACTAGCTCTAATTCACATACTGCATAAATTCAAAAGATTCTACTCTGAACTTACATAGTCCCAGTTTTACTGACTTCTAGCAAAGCCAACTAGTATGCCTATACTCAGACATATGGCCCAAGTCATAAATTATTATTTCTCATCAGTTTTCATGACAATGTACTGATGTCATCACTGCTTACTGTGAGTTTCACTACTGTACAATGAAATCAACAAGACAGCAGAGGATAACATTATAACACGACAGAATAAACATACCTTTACTACCTGAGACAGGTACAAATGTATATATTGTTGTCAGTCTGAGGTAACCATTTGTTGATTGTTCTCAAAGGTGGAATAAGAAAGAATAGATTATGTCTACGTTGCAAACATTACATTTCTAGACCATGATAGTAATTAATGCATGGCAATACTGTTGACAAAACCTGATTAAGTTTAATCGTGGTAAAGCAGCTTCTTCAACTTGAGTGCACAGATGATATTACTCAAGAATGGTGCAGGGTTCCACATTTCATTTGACTTTGGTAAGATGAGGTCATGTTGCCATCTTCTAAAGGAGACAGCCACTTGGAAAGGTTATTCAGAGGAGTCCTTGCAAAATTTAAGTTTCTCTTGACTCTCACTTTAGACAATGAAATGCGTAAAATTTTCTGATGGGAGATAAATCTTCAAGATCATATTAGAGGAGCTCAATAGGGACATCAATCTCATAACTGAACAAATCAGAAATTAAAAGGACCCAATATCTCTTAAGTACCTATGATCTTCAAAAGAGATTGAAGTAGAAATGTACATAACAAACATCATGTCAATTGGAACATGATCAAATGGGAAACACAAATCGTTAAGTCATCACACCTTTTAAGAACATTTGGCTCCTTGAATCAGGCATCTAACAATCTGAATAATAACATTCCTCCCAAAAATCACCTTCATCATAAATGTAAAGACAATCCACTGAGAAAAGACAGTAGTTTAATAGGACTGTACCTTTCTGAATAATGAAATTGTTATGCCCTTTTTTTCATATGGGATATGACAAAGTGGGTAAGAGAAAACCTCCATACTATTACAGCCTATATGAACTCCCTGCTGTTACAGTACACATCCATATTTCACATGGTGCTGTAAGTGTTTGAATAATCTCGATGACATCCGAGACGAGTGAAACAAACTGGAATGTTGGGTGCTGTGAGGTAGAGAACTATCTACTGAGGTTCTCTGGATGTTACATGGAATAATAGTCACATCTGTGCACAGAATAGCCGTTTGCCCTGAACTTGCAACACAAAATATCAAACAAAAGTTGTATGTCAAATGATGGACCTGTTATATAAAACCTGTGTACTTTCACTTCACTTTCTGAAATTGCAAGTCAAATGCATCCTAACAGGGATGTCATGATATGCCTACCACATGCATTAACACATAATGATACTTTAGTCTTGAAACAAACAAAAACCTGTGCTGTTTTGTGTGAAATTGACCATGTTCAGTGGGCTCCACAAGGTGATTCTATCAACCAGTGATATACTCTTTAATTGGTTAACCTGGATTTAACATTTGATCTAGTGATGGGAGGTCAAGTAAAGGTTCTGCAAAACAATGTCAATATTTCTTTCTGCAAAACATGACAAAATTACAAGATGAACTGATACATTGCTGGACACATCGTGTATTGTGTCATCAGACAAAACTTCCCATTGCATAGCTACTTCCTGAATCAGGACATCCCTGCTTTCCAGACAGCTTGGATTACCCACAAAAACATATGAACCATAGTCTTCAGTTTAGTTTGCATTTTGTGTTACATGGACCTTTGGATCAAGGTTCTAAAAAAGACACTTAAAGAGCTAGTAATGTTTTTAAACAGTCACAAACAGATTTTTTGTTCAATTATCCCATAATGTCTGAAGGTTCTCGTAAATTTTCAAACTTAACAAAACTAAAGAAATTATAATAGTTAAGAAGGTTAACAGAACAGAAACTCTGTAATCCAAATGTTTAACAGCTGTCAGCAAAGAAGGATTATATATAACATGTACAAATAGTAGACAGTACATATATCACAACAAAAACTTCTCAGAGACTTTAGCTCACACAGAGAATCATTATTGGCTGTACACATTAACAGGAATCCAGACAATGTACTTTGAGCGTATGTAAAATAATAATATTTTTAACCATAATCTTGATATGTCATCCCACTCTAGCCATATGGAAGGTCATTGTATTTAAAATGAACAGACTACCGTAAATCCTTGAATCAATGGCTGGTTTTATTTTAGTCTACAAATTTAATACCTAATGCTCCTTTCTCCTACCAATCAATGTCTGTAAAGATCCATACTGTATCAGTTGAGGTATAGAAAGTGCTTAAAAATACAAGTCTTTGACATATAAAGAAACACAATAAATAAAAAATACATATTGCCCTGCCCTGAATAAGCCACCTGCCAAAATAAGCCACCTGCCATTGTACTGAACAATGTTCTTTAGGAAGATATTAGGCCCTGTAAAATGTATTATTTTTTATATATTATCAAATGCTGGGTGATTATTCAAGGATTTACAGCTACTGAGATAATGACAGGGTGTCAAATATTCAATTTGTTTAAAATTTCAATTAATGTATCTGACTATTTTTTGTGTGCTGTATCAGGAAGTATCAAATTGTATATGGCCATTATATCATGATGAATGATCACTGACATTGTCAACAACAGTAGCTAAATACACACATTTAATAATCTCATTTGCAGTTACATAACTTTACCAATTGATATAAGCACTTTTTTATGACACGCACATCCTATGTCCTCATACTTTTCCTCATACTTACCTATAGGTATTGCTGCATAATTGAGGTGATCAGTTGAATTGTGTAAGATATATCAAATACATGTGTCAGTGAATACCAATCCCAACTACTGGCGATATGACATATTGCACTCACTGTGGCCCTAGGTTTGGGCACTGCCACAAGATCCATGTTTCTGTCACTCCAATCCTGTCCTGACCAGTGTTAACACACATCATATGATGTGAACATAGTGATTTTCCAAATATCTACATCCTTGATAGTATTTTCTTTAATTGCACTAATGCTACGCAAAGTTTTCATTTCCAGCTAATTTTTTACTAATAGTTCCATTCAGACAGCACTTATCATCAGATTATTCACCATAGTATAGCACTGATCCAACATATTATTCATAGGTATAAACAGAAACAACATGTTTTACTGTTGTGTTTGAAAATCTTTTCCTTTTCATCCCATATGTTGACATGGCAAGTTTGTTTGAGATTGCCAGGTACAGATTATCGCCCCTGTATCACAGTGAACTAGGTTTCAACATGTTTCGGATCTCTCGTGCAACTGATCCCACCCTGATTTGTTGAAACAGATCCAATTCATCTGAAGGTGTTGTGTCCAATCACAGTGAGACATGGACACTATAACAACGTAAACATCACAGGCACATATCACGCACTGATTCCGGGGTGATTGTTCATGGGGGAGCCAATTGGAGATGTTCGTGTGGGGGAGGACGGGCGTGAACTGTCTTTCAGACTTGCATAGAGGCCTTCAATGATTGGCCGCACTTCTGACCATACTGCTGCGAGCTGTAGATAAAGATTACAATGTCATGTAAGGATGTACATAAGAGTTACCATCTGATAAATACATTAATGAGAATGGAGAATATGCAGTCTACTAGACTGTGAGAGAGTAAGTTGGGTTTGATGCTGCTTTCAACAGTATTTCAGTTTATCAAAATACTTTTTAGTGAGTGAATGAAGAATAGAATAGAATAATACTTTAATGCCTTTTCAGGAATTTGTGTTGCATTAGCAGAGCTACTGACACATTAGCAGAGATACCAAAGCATAAATTCTTTGATTTAGGTATCTTCATATTTGTTTAAGAGAGATATGGTACTTGGAATAAAGGATGTAATGGGCTCTCTTAGTTTTCACAATTGGAACTTTGTAGCGAAGCGGCCTGACGGGGGAGGTTGTACCAGAAATGTAGGCTACGGTCACATATTCACGATGCCACTCATAAGGATTCAAATCTGACTCCACCCAGGTTAACAATTTAACGCTTTAGCAATATTCCAGCAATATCACGGCAGGGGACACCAGAAAGCCAACGCTTTAACCACTAGGGCTAGCCAAGCGCTTTAACCACTAGGCCCACCGCTCCTCATACTTTAGCTTGATGTAGGAGGAAAGTCCAAAATGATGTAGGTTTTGACATATACCAATTTAGGTTAACTAACAAGCACAGATATGGTGCTGACAAACCTTGAAACATAATCAGGAAAAACTGGCAGTCACCAGTCACTCAAAAAGAAACCTAAAGGACTTATCTTCAAGCAATAAATAAATAACCCATCTTAATCTGGTGCTCCACTCAATCACTGTCATGGTCATATTTAAAATTTCTGAATAAACCTTTCTTAATGACACATAACCTTAGAGCCCATATGCACAATCCCACCAGATGAGAAACGGCATCACCCTAAACCAGTGTATGAAATAAGCCAAAATCCAGCCAGACATCAGGGCTGGTAACTTCAAAATGTTACCAGCCCAAAATGGATTTAACCAGACCAAATATGGTGAATTTACTCAGATGTATAGAACATCTAAAAACATTAGCAGACCATCGGGCTGAATAGCTGTAAATTAAGACCGTCCACAGAAATCTAGCCTGTCTCGGCGGTCGGACAGGGCCTTATTTCATACACTGCCATAAACAAGTGGTGAGATGGTACCAGTTAAGAGTCTATGTTTCTCAAGGTCAATTCTTTCTTCAATGTGCCGGTAGTGAACTCCACTTACTTGAACAGACTATAATTGTGCAGGCACTGGACTGTTAATCCTAATCCGCTCATAGCCAATTAAAGTGCAGGCAAAAAGAGAATACACCGCACCAAGTTATAGATGCTGCACTACCTAATAAAAAGCAATTTATGATTAATATTTCATCCAACCAATACACAATTGTTACCTCAGCATGTGCTTTAGCCTCAACATCTGTCATGGACTGCAATGTCTCATAGAAGATGTCAAGGTTTGCATGTATAAGTTGCGTCTCCATCTGCAGACAATGGAGGGAGTAGTAGTTCCGGTTCTCCATGTTGGCAATCTGGCCTTCTTGCTGTCAACAAAATACACCAAAACACTCCATCTGTGAATGGGGTATAATATTGTGTTAATTGCATTACATACAGATGTGGATGCGTGTGTGCATGCGTACATGCGTGTTTGTGTGCGGCTGCTTGCACTTCTGTGGACTAATCTCGGTTCTATGATAGTCCAGAGATATACCATTTAACATGGACGCCTCATTCAAACACAGTATACAGACTCTTAGCTATTGGTTTGAAGCAGCAAGGGTTTTGAATCACAAACTTCTGTTCTCCAAGTAGATGCTCTAATCACTACACCACACCACAATATTTGATGATGGTAGTGAACATGGTAATACATGATTTATAGCAGCAACTAAAGCTTACACAAGGAATATGCTTTGAGATTTGTAAATCAACGGTTAATTGAAACTTTGAGCATACCCAATAACTAATGACCATGCTAACCCAGCCTGTCAGGTGAGGTGAAATTGGGTTTAAAGTCGTGCTTTCGAGAATATGCCTTTTGTCCCAATAGTAGCCAACCACTTAAGCTGGTTTTAGAGTGCTAGCCCACTGAGCTACCATGCGCAGTGAAGCTCAGACACATTATACTGACTCCGAAGTGAGTGACTCACCCGACCTTCCGCTCTCCGGGCGGACGCTCTAATCACTACACCACGGAGGCGGTCTAACCCAGCCTGTAGTCCCAATAGTGCTGAACAGTGAGTGAGTTGAGTTTAACACCACTTTTAGCAATATTCCAGCAATATCATGGCAGGTGACACCAGAAATGGCCTTCACATATTGTACCCATGTGGGGAATCCAATCCGGGCCTTTGGTATGACGAGCAAACGCTTCAACTGCTGGGCAACCCCACCGCCCCAGTACTGAATAGTACTTAAATAACACCATAACTTAAATCACTGGTAAGACTATAAGAGAACAAGTAAACTTCACAAACTGTTGAAAATAGAACATGTTGGAAGGAGTGACTTGAATAGTCATAACAGTGCTCCCAGTTTCAAAGTAACCCAAAATTGAAGTGAGTGAAGAATTTCCAGTCAGTAGTTAATAATTCATACAAACCTCTAAAATCTTTTGCTCTAACTGTTCAACGGCTCCTGTCTGAAACATATTTCATCAGAAGTTATTGAGATACAACAACTATGATACCTCCAATATCCATACATGACAGATGTCAAAAGAAGTAATGATGGGATCTCCATGTGTAGCAAAGAGAGGTTCAAACCTAGTGGGTATATGAAGTATTATACCACAGTCATCAATATTCATGTTAGATCATGACAGCATGTCATTAACAGATTATTGGCCAGACAAACCAGTGGTTGACAGAACAATTAGCAAGACACACATTTGTGACATAATGAAACAATGAAGTGAGAATTTATTGGACTAATTCCCATTAGTTGACTTTCACAAAAATCATGGAGTACTGGGGACTCATTCTGCCCTGAATTCCCAAGAAAAGTATCAGTCTAGACAGACCCACCTCTGGCCCCTGAACAGTAGCGGACATCTTCTTCTTCTTGTACTGGCCCATCTTCTGTATAGCTCTCTGGTGGTCATTGAGGACACCCTTCTCATGACGTTCACATAGGTCCTGTATGCCACAGAATCATTACATTATCCACCATAGTGAATGAGAGAGAGTTTGGTTTTAAGCCATTTTTAGTAACATTCTAGCAATATCACAGCGGAGACATGGTCTTCACACACTGAATCCCTGTGGAGAACCAAATCTGTGCCTTCTGCATAACAAGTGGACGCTTTAACCATTACACTACACTACTGTCCTCCTTACAGACGAACCCAGCGTAATGCAGGACCCTTACCATCTGATTCCAACGAACATGTGTATTGTGTTTGCAAACCAACAACCGTAATGAGGATCCTATGGTATCTGAACCAAGGGCTACAGCATGGACAGTGAACTACGGAACATAACGACTCTGGCATCTACCCCAAATGTCAGCATGGTACGAGAGCTAGGTATTTTATGGGCAAGTCATAAAGTCTAGTTTTGATTTTTTATTGTTTAATGCTGCTGACTCGGAAATATTCCAGCATATATTGGCAGACAATCCAGTGGTCAATATTATTAGCAACAATCCACGCGGTCCAGGTACAATGACAGATGGGGTCTAGTGACCAATTTGGATAATAAAGATAGAAATATATAACGCATAATCATATTGATGTGGTTTGATAATGCTAGCTAGTAAACTGTCATGTTAATTTTAGGCAACATACCCGATATGCTGTCAACAAGTCCAAAAATAGAGACAGCTTTTCTACGACTCCCTCTTCCTCGTCAACAGCCTGGAAACAATGGTTACAGAATACAGAACGATACTACAGCATGCTTGTGATTGATGGACACTGGATGACACAATTTACACATGCTATCATTATGATGTCATCAAAATATCATGCATAGGTGTCTACCTGCTGATACCTTGCCATGTATTAAACACTAAGCACATTAAGTCAATCTTAATCTGAAAGTTTGTCATGTTCTGATATATTATGTCTAAAATTATCAGGAAACATCACTGGGTCAGATTGAGGGACAGTAGATTATAATCAGTCTTTCAGTTCCATATCTTTCAGCCTTCACAAGGTTAATGTTTACCTTTACTGTCGCCTTGTCAGACAATGAAGCATATTCCACAGACAGATGCTTGAAACCCTTCTTGAGGTGGTGCCACGTGTCATTGTTGCCCGTTGCCCATGCCGTCACAGGTGTAGCATCATTGCTAAGAGAGCTGAGGAAGAACACGATACATTGCATTAGGGCTTGTTGCATGGCACTGACACAATGGGGAGCAAAAGTCAATTTCAACAACCCTGGAATATCACCCTCTATCATTTAGAAGTTGGATTTGTCCCCAAAGAATAGATGCAGCATTTCAGAATGGTTGTTTTGCAAAACACAGAATGTTATCAACACTGACCTCAGATATTTTTAACTGTGGTGATGGTAAAGTAGAATGTCACATACAAATTTGCTGAAACTCTTGAACATGTTTTGGTGAGATTTGTTGTCTGAAAATCACTGTACTGTTACTGTGTATGGATGATCATCCATTATCTATTGTTTCTGAAGCTATGCAAATACTTCCCAATCTCAATGGGTCTCTACCAGAACAAGTGTTTGCCACTGATGTGGCAATGTCCCCCGCCGCTAAAGAATGGAATATCTATATTTACTACTTTTTAATTTTGGGTCACATACAAGATGCCTGAAATGACTGGTGTCTGCATAATCACCCAATGTAGGCTGTCAACATACTTGAAAACATTGGGTGCAATGTTTTATGAGATATCGCCTTTTAAAAGCGGTCAAAGTATCATGGTGACCTTGAAGATAAGGTCAAGGTCACCCAAATAAACTGGTGTCTGTGTAATACCCCAATGTAAACTGTCACCAAATTTGATGACATTGGGTACAACAGTCCATGAGATATCGCGTTAACAAGAGTTGAAAGTGTGAAAAGTGTCGTGGTGACCTTGAAAATAAGGTCAAGGTCACCCAAAATCAACTGGTGTCTGCGTTATCCCCCAATGTAGGCTGTCACCAAATTTGAAGACATTGGGTACAACAGTTCATGAGATATCTCGTTAACAACAGTTTGAAAAGTGGTCAGTGTCGTGGTGACCTTGAAAATAAGGTCAAGGTCACCCAAATCGACTGGTGTCTGCGTAATCCCCCAATGTAGGCTGTCACCAAATTTGAAGACATTGGGTACAACATTTCATGAGATATCACATTAACAAGAATTTGAAAAGTGGTCAAAGTGTCGTGGTGACCTTGAAAATAAGATCAAGGTCACCTAAATACAGTGGTGTCTGCGTAATCCCCTAATGTAGGCTGTCACCAAATTTGAAGACACTGGGTACAACAGTGCATGAGATATCACGTTAACAACAGTTTGAAAAGTGGTCAGTGTCGTGGTGACCTTGAAAATAAGGTCAAGGTCACCCAAAACGACTGGTGTCTGCGTAATCCCCCAATGTAGGCTGTCACCAAATTTGAAGACATTGGGTACAACATTTCATGAGATATCGCATTAACAAGAGTTTGAAAAGTGGTCAAAGTGTCGTGGTGACCTTGAAAATAAGGTCAAGGTCAAGGTCACCAATATCGACTGGTGTCTGCGTAATCCCCCAATGTAGGCTGTCACCAAATTTGAAGACATTGGGTACAACAGTTCATGAGATATCGCATTAACAAGAGTTTGAAAAGTGGTCAAAGTGTCGTGGTGACCTTGAAAATAAGGTCAAGGTCACCCAAATCAACTGGTGTCTGCATAATCCCCCAATGTAGGCTGAAGACATTGGGTGCAACAGTTCATGAGATATCGCGTTAACAAGAATCGGGACGTACGTACGTACGCCGCTGAATACATAGTCCCCGTTCCGCGTTGCGGCGGGGGACAATTACAAAAACCATATCAGACATCAGGACCTTATTTCTCAAAACAAACTAAAATCTGACTTTGTTCACATTTTCTCTGGAAACAAAGTTGAATTCCTTGACACAGTCATGTAGATCAAGGACAACAATGAATTGCAGTCAATCTTGACTGTGTTAAAATCTCAGTTGAGTTTTGAATGAGTTCCCTTTGAAAAACACAGGAAACTGGGTCCAGGGCACTGTTGTACGAAACAAATCCTCAATCACAAGCACTCTCCTGATAATGAAACCTCAATAACTCTGCCCTGAAAGATAACTATGACATGAAGTTTCCTAATGACAGAGTCAGGTAAATGTTTGTTTAATATTATTTAATCCAGATAATTATCACTAAAACACCCTGTGCCATAAACTTTGAGTCTACTTAGTGAAACAATCACTTTGCCTGTTGCAGTTTCACACCTTTTCTTGAATTCATATTTTCTTGTTATTTTCTTCAGTATTGGTAAGGTCAACCGATTATTGAACTCAACTAGTTACTAGTAACTACTTAGTATGACATAACCCATTTTTTTACAAAAAGCTAGGATGAACACTATGATCTTACTAGACCAAACAAAACTTTACTAGACTTCGGTTTCAGCTTATGCTGAGTAACCCAGACATTTTTCACAAAGGCTGCTGTTTACTTACCTAACATACATGAAATGAAAGTAGGTTACCTCAGTTCCCTGCCAAACTGCAGCATGTCTGAAGCAAACTCTGCCGACCTCTGGACCATCCTCTCTCCAATGTCCTTCATCTTTGATACACTGTTGAACAGCTGGCGGATGTGCTCCTTGCTGTTGGACAGCTGAACTTGGGTATCCATGGGAACCATGTCCTACACACATGTACAATTACAAATACAATTACCTGTGCAATACATATTCCTTTTACTTTTACTAGGGTCACTAATAGTCATCAATACAAGATCTTAAGTACACACAATCTGACAATGAAAAAGTTTTTGTGGATGACTCATCAAATTAAATTTCCATACTGATATCAAGGAAGGCATCTTATCTGACCATTCTTGTCTAGAGACCCCTCCACAGTGTGGGCATTCCTCTGATGCCAACACAGGGATCACTGATGAGATACCACAAATATTACATTATCAGTGTCCGACTTAGTTTATCACAGCAGGTCATATAATTTACCTTTGCTTTACTTGCAAGGTTACTTGTCATAAACTCATCTGGAATTCCACGAAAATGTTCCTTGATTTTATGCTGTGTGTCCTATGGTTAAAAGAAAATTAATATTAAATTCAATTCAGGCTTACAAAAGAATTTGCACATTCATCATATTATTACAGCAATGAATGCTCTGGATGTAGAAGAAGCACATTTGGGTGCCTCTGTCGTATGATTGAAGGGAAGAATGGAAATGCTACATGTTGTTTAAGTATCCATAATCTGATGGTTTTATGGTCACACTGGTGGTTCAATTCCACTGTGACCAGATGTAATGTGCGAATCCCATTTCTGGTGTCCCCGCCATTATATTGCTGGAATATTGCTAAAAGCGGCATAAAACTAAACTCACTCATTCTGATGGTATTATGGTTATCTGATATAAGCAATATGTACTGCCGAATTTCTTCATCTCACTTGTTATTCGACATGACCACATGTCAGGTAAGAACACAAAATGTTCTACTGAGCGTATATTTGATGGAGAAATAAAGCCTTAAACAACAACACAAAATAGTTTTAGTGGCTGCTCTATCAGAACAGCTACCATCTTAACAATAAACACTGACAAAATAAACACTAACTGTTCCATTGAATGTGAGGAAGAACTTTGTAAGCTTGTCATCATGCATGTGGGGGTGTCTTGACACGATGTTCAGGAATCTTCGCAGGCACTTTCTTCGGTGTTCAATAAACTCTCTATTTGCTAGAAACAAACCAAAAAATTATCAACGATCTTCCGAGCTAAAAAGCAATGGATACATTACAGGAATTTGGAAATTTTAATATAAATTGTATATTTATATACTTATCCTATCTCACGACTTGCACCTCTCTCTCTTGCTTCGACTTTTAGTGGAACGACTGTAAACTTTTTTCCATAGGCCTCCTTGTCCATTCGCCCGTGCACTCCATGCTGCTCTCCTTAATTAACTTCCTAGTTCCTAATAAAGCTTGCAGCATGCTCCACTAATTGCCCACGTGACTACCTTGTATGATCATTCTCATCTTAGAGCCAACGTTGTAATCTGAGTAGTGGGGAGGCCGGGCGGGCATCCATCGCTATGAGATACAGAAGTCATATTTGGGTTCGCTGCTCAAACCGTGGAATGCAAGTGCAAGTCGTGAGATAGGATAAGTTTAAAAATTAGAAATTTTAATATAAATTGTATATTTATATACTTATCCTATCTCACGACTTGCACTTATTCCACGGTTGGACGGCGGGCCGCAGATGACCCTTCTGTCTGGACAGTGCGAACAGCTGGTCTTGGAGCTGTGTGGACTGATGACACCCGTAGATAGCGATGTACAAGGGAGGCCTGTTACGCATGCACGCAACTCCTATGCTTGTAGTGGGTTCTCCGGGAACCCCTTGGCTTACTAAGCACAACGACTTCCAGGGAGATGGGTGCTCCCGAGCAATGTGGTGTTCGGCCCCAACCTTGTACAAGACAAGGGACGCAACTCGGCAAGTAAGCCTTGCCTCGCCACGATTTACAAGGTACCCCTGTAATTAAAGTCTTGCGACTAGAATCGGGCCAGCCCCTGCTTCAAGAAGGCCCCCCAGACACAGACCGAGGCGGGTGAAAGACATACACAACTCGGCATCTCTAAGCTTAGTCAAAGGATGTGCCCGGCAACTTTCGAGGCAGAACGCACACAGCTGTTTAGGACCAGGCAACTTAGCTGGTACACACAGCGTAGCTGGCAGAGTCAGGAAGGCAGAGAGAGATAAGGCAGTGCGGTTGGCCTGTACATACCAAAGCCCAGATCTAGGTCGCACATGCTATATTAAATCTGCGCGTGTGTTGCGTGTGCTCCCTTGCGGTACTAATACAAAATGGAATTTTGTCAAGGTTGTCACATACGTCACTGCTATCTAATGATATTTAAGAAATATATATATGAGGTTGATATATTCAGTCAAAAAGTTCACATTCCATTCATTTTCTAAACTTTATAATAAGAACAATTTGTCCATTTTCAAATCGCTTTAAGAGGTCTTTGTAGAGTTATTCCTGCAATTCAATATATATGTACACTGAGTATGATATCTAATTCTACCAATACAATCATGCGATCATATTCAAGCAGGGTATATGACTTCAAAATGATAAGGAATTTGGACTCACTGTTTTGAAACTGCTAAATCCATCCACTACAGTTAATATAAGAAATATGTACACACAGATAAAGTGAGTGTCAATATCACACTTGTACATGAGATCTAGTGTCCATAAAGAATTTCACAGACTGTCATGGGCAGGGTATCCACATTCTTAATGACAGATTATATATACATGTATTTTGTCATTGTCAGGGTATACAGGTTATCCACAATTCACCGCTTACCTGGTATAAACGATTATGTCATTTATTGGGATATCCGGTACAATGTATTATTGATGGCACATATCCATGTATCAATATAACAATGAGAAGAGTCCTTATGATTTTTTTCACTCTTTTGGTGGGACTGGAAGTACGGCCTGGACACATGGTGATACCTGCATGTGATGTTCCCTCAGCATAATTTCATATTTCATCTTGTCAGATTTCACCCCCATACACGCCGTTTTAACAGGTTGATGGTAGCGTGGACTTGTTCACCTCCCCTGCTCCCCATGCAAACCTAATCCAAAACCCCAGGTGTTGATCCAGTCACACACATGATCCTCTAAAAAATGCATTTTGGGAGTAACACTACTGGATGGGAATTTCTTGGCTGCATAAAAGGACATGTACTCTTTTATCTTCTTTGGATTGTTGGCATTTCTTCACAAACCGATTGGATTTGTCATGACTGATAAGTTGATGAACAGCAGAAAATTTCCGGTTTAGTTCCCTCATACACCTCCCTAATACAGAATGCCCGTAATAGTGTTCCGTCATGCTTTGTCATTTTGCAGGTGACGGTTGTAATGCTCCTGCAAAGGTCTTCATACACCTGTGGCTCGAGATATTTCTTACAGTGATTCCCCACAAAGGACCGTGCATGATAGGCCTGGGGTACAATTTTGTGCGATTTCAACACTTTGTCCAAATTTGCTGTAACTGGGCCTTTTCTTTCCTTAAGTTTGTTTTCTTGAGTCTTTCTTGCTTGATATTTCTTTCCTTAGTTTCTTTAATTTGTCTTCTAATTTCTTTTCCTGTTGTTCCAAATGGGCGAGAGGTGTATTGTCGTCGATTTCTTCTAAAACGTTAGTAAATTTTTTTCTCCTTCTTTTCTAGTTTTTGTATTTCCCGACTTCTCAAAACATACTCCAAATTCAGTCTCTGGACTTTCTTCATCATCAGTCATGAGAGCATGTCCTCCGATGAGCATATCGAGCTCATGACATCTCTGCTCCAGCATTACATGATGTTTTTTAACTACTCCCAGTAAAATATGCAAATATGGTGGGCATACTCTGTTGACATGCACTGGGAATAGAGGCTGGTGGATAGCATTGTGGTATGTCCCGCATTTCCAATTCTACCCTGTCCCTTTTCTACAAACTTTTGTGATCTCTTTTCAGTGATTTAAGTGTTCTACCTTCCACATATTCCCGACTTTCGGGTCCTTCTGTATCTGTAATTTTGAAGCATGACACCACAGGCATGGAAATTTGGCAGCTGCACCAGAAATGCCGTAGACCTTTGGATAAGAAATCATAATCACCAAAGAGAAAGACTTTAATGCGTTTTCCATGCCAAGTCTGTCCTTTAAATTGTTTTATTTGCTCACAGTATGTTAAAAGTGCTATTTCTAGATTTTTCTGGTGTCCTTTGCCTCAAAAAAAATGTTGAAAATGACAGTATTGTGTTTTGAATTTGGTGGTTGAAAGATTTGCTATTTGTAAACAGAGTTTGAATGAACCACCGCCGTGGTCGCCACCAATTTTCAACCAAATTTCATCCTCTGGAATGTGTTTGCAGTGCCATGTTAGTTGACCAGATTCAAGGTAATTATTGAGAAGTTCTGTAACGAATGTCGGCAGATCTTTCACATATGCCATCGGAACATCTGATTTTACCCGTTCACCATCATCATTGGTTGTTTCCATTTCAATCATTTTGGAGTCAATGTGGGAACTTTAAAATTTGAGACTGTTCTTTTCTCTCAAATGTTTCGTTTTCAAATTTCACTCCAAGTTTTGACATTAGTTTCTTTTGTTTTCGATATTAGGCCCAGGAAAGTCCCAAGTAAGCCTTGATTGCAAGCCCATATCTGGAGGAAGCTCTCAGTTTTCTTCTAATGCCTGCTTTTTGGCAAATAGTTTCACGCGTTTTTTTTCATGGGAAGGCTTTCAAACTCGGATGAAAACTGGCTTGTGTGGTCTTTTTCACCAGTTAAAAATTAATCTTAATTTTGAAAGTTCCTGAGAGCCTTCTTTTCAAAGGGCTTTTGGCCTCTGAAGACAGTTTCCGTGGCTTTCTTTACACGCTGAAAAACAAGGGCTGTCCTTTGTTTTACATTCTAGAGTTCTCTGATTACTGCTTGTATTTAGCTTTCTCCTAACTAAATGGGTTTGTAATTTTCTTCAAATTTCAAAGTGGTTGCATAACTGGTTTCATTTAAACATTCACTTAAGGACTGTTCCGTGGATTGTCCTGCAACTGGAATGGTGACGCTTTGAGCCTCTTTAAATTCCTTCATGGGACGGGTGGTGTAGCATGCTGTGTCGCCACTGAACTTGAACCCTCACATGCACCATGTTCCATGATTTCTAATCCTAGAATCGATGTTTCATCATCATTTGCCCTTTTCTGTCTGTATTTTTGGCCTTCCCCTTTACTTTGGGTTTTAAATTGTACCACATACCCAACAGTCATTGTCACATTGTTTAACCTCCCAAACATTTTCAAATTTATCTCCTTTGATAGTATCCTGCATTTTCCTTTTGTTTGTGAGTGAATGTCCTGTTGTAACATGGTCGCATTTGACAGAAAACTTTTGGGTGGAAACTATTGTCAGATAACACATCAATACCATAGACATGATACAGTCTGTCATTGAACTTCTTACATGGCCTAGACGCATTCTCTTTTTACCAAATGGTGTAAGTCTCCCAGCACATATCCGCACAGTAATTCCAGTTTTTTAAAGTGATCTTCACATATTCTCTCCATTTTGAATACAAATTCCAACGAAAATAACACTTAAACTTGCTCCATGTAGAATACACAAAATACAGCTTCAAACTTTCATGGCAATACTAGTAGAATCATCAACAAGAACCTTACACTCTCTGATACACTGTATGAATGAAACCTATGTTTGCACAGATTCATGTGAAAACAGACCCTGCTTGAATAAACTCTGTTAATTTCATCTGACAGAGGAAAGTTGGGGCTGTCATATAACGTAAACAGTTTCCAGAAAACCCAGATAAGATAATTGTGACACTGTTAATTAAGAACATTTTTCAGTTTTACGGATTCCAGACTGGGTTTGTTTATTGTAACCTCCCTTGTCAAGATTTCTACACACAGTCATTAATCTTCATTTATGGTTTGCCACAAAGTTAAGTGTTAGGATAACACCAATAATGTTAACACAAACAATGTTAGAGAGGAGAAATAGTGCGAGTTAAGCTTGAGGTGGGGAGGGTTGCTAATGTGGCCGCCATCTTTAAATGATGATGCCAGCCTTAGCAACAGTTAGTACGCATGCGCAGGCCATGACTCATCACTCTCCTCACTCTCAGCAGAAGGCAGGCT